CGAAGTTCTTATCGGTTCGGTTGCTTGTCGGGTTGCTTTTTTGAGAATGACCTTCCGGGACAGGTACATTGGACGCTGCGACGATCCTTTCTACTTTTTTTGGAGTATTTAGGCCCCAGACATGCGGAATCGCGGCACGACCACCAGATGTGCGCCCAGGCAGCTCGCATCGGCGAACGGCACTGCTTTCCTTGGAAACACAACTGCACCGCTGCCTGCTGGCGCGGTAAGAAATATCAGATTTTATTTAGGAGCAACGAACGAGTGACTGTGGGGTAGACTAAAGTAGCTTTTCCGCACATTTACCGCGTTGCAAGACCAAAGTTCGACCACCAAAGGTATATTCAATTCATTTCTCCAGTCGACCTTACAGCTGTTTGACTTCCACAAAAGATCGAAAGTACATGTCGTCCCTACGCCTGCTTGTGAAATTTGGTCAACGCGAACAGTTTGTCCAGCTCACCTGAGCTCAGATTCTCCTTCATCCTAGTGACATAATAGAAGTTAGAAATCTTCTTCAACAAGTTGCAACATTACCGCTAACGTACCAAGCCAACGTCGCCGTTGGGATAATATCCGTAAAAGGCAGAAGTTCCTCCAAGAAGGCCACGTACTTGGCATGTGGCGACGATTCCTTGTAAAGTGTGTCGACCATCTTCGCCGAAACGGGTGCCCACAGCACGTCTGCCATTTCGCCCAGGCCAGGTACCACAAAGGTCGCGTTTCCAAGAAAATCAATGGCAAGACTGGCCACCAGCTTGCGAGACGGATTTTCGAGCACAAATTCCTTCGCGCGAGCCGACAGGGCAGAGGTTGAGAGCGATTCTTCTCCAGGCATGCCCTCGAACAACAGTAGCTGACCTTGCTGACTGGTCAGGAAGTGCTGGCACGCACCCTTGACCCGCTCCGAACGAGCAAGCTTCACTGTCACGACCGCTGAAATAGTAGAAAACAGAGTGACCAGCGCCATGGCGACACCAACAACGATCCAGACAGGGAAGCCCATCACGCCAACCAGAAGCGTCAGAGGTAGCCAAACCGGAGACGTCCCGATGATACCAACGACGCAGCCTGCAACCGCCGGTAGCAGCCCGATCACAGCCTTGTTCTTATGCAGCGCCAACTGGTCGAAAAAAGAATGCCAGCATTTCATTAGCCAGTCGCCAACACAGCAACAACAAACCCACCAACCTGACGCGCGACACTGCTTGCCCCATTCTTAAGCGCTAGCGCATGGGAGACCAACGCTCGAGGGCGACGATTAGTTTTCACGTAGACATGGATGCCTACATCCCAAAGCACCTAAAGCACCAGCATACGCAGTCTTAGTGGCCACTACGAGGACACAAACAAAAGTTGACAGTACGAACGTCTTTGTGCAGCACTGGTTGCGTCCAATGGATAGATCCCTCGGTCAACACGGGGATGCAGTCGCGCAGCTTACGTGCATGCGTTGCTACCAGCTCCTCACCCTCCAGCAGTTTGAACGTCACGTACTGGTCCAACAGCGACACCTTGTTCTTCGTCGTCAATTCTTCCGCCGAGATCGAGATATTGCAGGGCAGAGGCGCCCCTTCGTCTTGCTTTTCGGCATACGGCGGTAGTACTGTCAGCTGCGTAGCTTGCGGAGCCCGTGGGGTCACCACCTGCTTCTTGGACGGCTTGGCCAGCCACAGCACCTCAGCCTTCTCTAGCAAGAGCTCCATGCTTATCAATTCTCCACGTTGAAGCAAATTGACCAGTGACGTTGCAGCGTGTGCAGGATTCGATTTTAGCCAATCTGATTGTGTTAAGTATACGCTGATTCGTTAAAAAAGCTCAAGTTGCCACTCCAGTTTGACAATCAAGATGCAATCACTGGAGGCCCTCTTATCGTCCCTCGTGGAGTATCCGCGTGCGTCTCTCGTAGCTGTCATTGCGCTCTACCGAGAGCACCACTAACTCGACATGTGTATTGGCTCTTTGGATCTCGTTTTTCAGAGCTACAGCGGCCCCACTGCGACCAATGCCGCATCGCCATTGCTGACTACGATTGCCAGCGCTGCAACCAGCGTTTTTGTAGACAGTGCGAGCTGGTGATCCACCACCGGTTAGCAGTGCTGGCTATTAAACATGAAGAGAGCAAGAGCGACGGAAGGCCGCACCAGGAATTCCTTACGTGGACCAGCGGTGTGCTGGCTATGAATTTTTACAAGTTGCGATTAGAGCGAACTAACACTGTTATTCTCGCTATGTAGCTTGCCAAGAGTGTGGCCAAAACACACAAGAATTTTTCTGTCTGAATTGCAGCATGTATCAGTGCGAGAATTGCTGTGCAACCAAACACCGTCAGCTGGAGCCACACTTCTTCTTTTGTGTCGACGGTATGTATACCACAGCGATAATCAGACCTGTATTGCAAAATTTGACGAGTGCAATATGCAATATGACGCAGGTTCGTCGCCGAGGATGTTCCCGTTCGCTAGTTGGAACTTGATGCTTGTGGAGATGGTGAAAGTGAGCACGGGCAAACTGCAAGACAGTGCTGCCGCTGCAGAAGGAGCAATGACGTATGCTAGCAACACTGCTAACGAGGAATTGGAAGTGAAATATAGTACTTCGGCTGCAGCGCATATTAAACTGGAGAAGGCCACCGCTGCCGCTACCGCGGCAGCTCTGGGGAATTTATCAATCAATGGACCCGTCGCCGTAACTCATCCACCCCAGAGCCAAGCCAAGCATTCTTCGCGAGTTAACACCACATCAATTGTCGATCTGACGCTTGACGACGAAACTGACGCTAGCACAAGTAGCTCAACTACTAGACCACCAGCACAGCCACAGATCAAGGAAGAGCTCCGAGTTAAGACTGAAAACACATGGCTGGCGTCAGCCACTGCTGCTCAACAAAACCCAGTGCTTGACGTGGACGAGTTGATGGAGAAAGCCATGGGCGACGATGAGGATCCTATTTTGCGCTCCATGATTGGCAATTATAATGAGCTCAGTGCGAATATCTTCGAGATTGACCAGGAGGCCGACCGTGTCAAGAAGAAAACCAAAGAGCTAACCAGTGTCAAGCCGATTAATATGCAGGAGGTACAGAAAGCTCGCACCACGACGCTGAAGCTCCGCAAAGACAAGGCTGAAGCTGAAAAGGCTCGTGATGGAGTGGTGGCCGACATTGTTGTTTATGTGAAGCCCGATCCAGAAGATATGGCGGCATTTCTGGAGACTTGCACCGCCGATGTGCCTACTGCCCAAACAGCCATTCATCGTAAGTGTGCCACACTAGAAGCGAGCATCCAGTCCAAGTTGGAGGGGCTTCAGAGGACTCAACAGCACATGGAAGAGCTGATTGGACTAAAGAAGGACGCCCTCGCTGAGGTCACTCGCCTTGGAGCTGATGTTGCTCAGGGAGAGGAGGAAATTCGCAAACTGGACAAGGAACGACAAGGCGAGTTCTTGACGTTATGCCAGTTTAGCAAGTCAATCCAGACTGCAGTCCGGGAGGCGACTGGAAGCGTCTAACACTAGGATGATTTGGGCGTACATGAGTTTGTTCACACGACGACAATGGCAATGTGTGGCAGAGGCTAACGTGAATTTTGCAATACTGGTACAAGAGAACTTTTGTCAGCTATGGAGAAGAATTAATCCAAACGATTTATCAATCAAGTTTGAATATAGGCTCCTGAGTTTCTGAGATGTCGTCATGAAGAAAATACTGCTGAACGTTTTTTCTTTTCTTTCAAATAGTTTGGTTACCTTTGAAGCAAAGATTCTTTTTGAGCAGGAGCAATTTGAGTTGCACTTTCACACTGGATCAGAATGGATCAAGCAGGTTCACGTCCTTGTTGCCGTGGACGCCAAGCAGTAGCGTGGGACTTCACTCAAGTGACTTCACGATGAAGCGCGTATGATTCATGATTCACAATGACTCACACTGTGAAGGTTGGTCTCATAGAGCGGATGACGAAAGCTCTGTATTTCGTTTGCATTTTAAGTGATCAAGTGCACCGCTCTCGGCTTCAACTTGACTGCCAGCTGACCATAAAGTGTCCAATTCGCACTTGACTTGTTTTTTGTAAAGATAAATATAAATTTGTATAGGGGTAGGTCTAATCTATCTTCTGTTTGAACTTGGCAAAGAGAAAAAGACGCCGGCGGGAGCTCCAAGCGCGCAGCTCGACTCCTGCCTTCCCGACATTCAGTAGAGTCCGTCGGACCACGTCGCCGCAAGTGTCGGATCCTTCACTCGCTCATCTCGCTGGAAGCGCCGTTCAGCGCTCACTGTAGCTCCAGTAATCTCCTTTTGACCACTTGCCAGTTTCTCAGTCACCATGAGCGCAAGCGTGTCCCAGACGCAGACGCAGACGCTGGGGCGGGTGTATTCGTACGCGTTGCGCTCGCTGTCCGACACCAAAGACACTGTACGATGAGTCTGTCAAATATGATTCCACATACTCTCTAACCTTATATGTTGATGCAGCTGATTCTGGTCTGCATCGGCCTATTGGAGGCATTAGATCGGCTACAGGAGCGTCTTCATCTGCCCACGTCCATCGTCAAGGAGCTTAAACACCGGCTGGCCAAGATGGTGGCGCGCTCGTCCGTGAGACTGAAGACCAAGTGTCCGAGCGACCGCGAGCTAGGCGACGCCGTGGCCGACAGCTGCGTATGGGACACCGCCAAGCCCGAGGAAGTGCGAGGCGTCGTGCACTGGGTGTTGGCAGTGACCTCGTCGTTGCAGAGACTCGTGGTCAGCGCCTCACTCGGCGTATGTAAAGGCATCTACGTACTAATTATGAGTCTACCTGGGGTTTCCACGGCCTGCTCGCTGTTCTACGGTCTGCTACAAGCAGTTGAGGATACACTGAGGCTGTCCAGTGAGGAGATCATGGAGGCTGCGTCTGCAGGAGGTTCAGGGTCTGGAAGCGGACGCAGTCGAAGTTATCACCATCTGCACCACCGACATCATCGTAACGCTGAGAGTTACGTTGCTGATCCGAGCTGTACGTTGCGTGGGATGAGCTGGTTATGGTATTGATGAGATTTCTAATGAGTTATGTATTTATTGTGACAGTGACGGCGGTGGTACTGGAGTACAGGGAGAAAGAGTGCATGGTACCGTCCAATATCGATCGGAGGATACGGCGCGTCATGCATTTTCAGATCCCGCTGCATTCGTTTGAAGCTACGGTTCGGTTACCGCCAGATACCGTGCAAACTGCGTCTTCGAGCAGATCTACCAGCGACGGCAGCATTGGTAGTGGTAGTCAAAGTCGAGCCCAGGAGGAGACCACTTCAAGCTATGCTCACCTGAGTTCCGCGACGCCGCGGTCCATCCCAGTGTCGCCTTTGGCGCGCAAGCGTGTGCAGCTGGCATTTTCTAATTTCTCCGACGACGTGTTATACCAAGCACGCGATCAACTACGACAGGAGCGTGCGGCGACGTTAACCGGTGATCGTGGGCTGCGTGTGCCACGATTCAATGCGCATGATTGTCACGAAGATATTTATTTATCCTGTGGTCGCCATTGTGCGTCCAAGGTTGGCACAGGCATGTACCGCAGTGTGCGCGCTTCTGTGCCGCTGCAGAAGAATCGGTTTGTGTACTTTGAAATGACGCTGCAGCAAGGGCGGACACCTGCTCGTGGTGCGAACCAGAATGCTTCCAGGTTAGAGGCTTCGTCTCAATTAGCGCGTGGATCATCTTTTCTGTCGGGTGGTTCCGCGGGCACAAGTTCGGCCAATCCTAATGACCGAGCTGGCATCGATGCAAGCGTCTGTATCGGGTTATCTACGCGCCTGATGCCATTAAACACACTCGTTGGAGCCTCAAAGCATTCGGTAGGTGCCTTAGCTGCTGTTGACGGCGTAGTGGGCTTGAGCTAACTTGCTATTGATACAGATAGGATTCTATTCTGCCGGGCACGTGCTTGTAGGATCGGAGAGGCGGCGTTCCATTGGAGTCGGCCGAAAGTATGGTTTCCAGTCAACAGTTGGAGTTCTGGCCCAGGTAGTTGATCATCAGGAGGATGAAACAACGGGTGCATCAACTGGAAATGCGCCTCAGCCATCAGACTCTTCGTCCTCGACAGGCTCGGGCGATGCTGGATCATCCATCGGTGAAGCTTTTGTGCGCTTCACTGTTGACGGGATTGCGCTTCGGGACAGTAATAATCGCGTGATGGAGTTTACATTACCGGTCCCTTCGAGGAGCGAGCTTTACCCGACGTTGACACTACATTCCCAGGATGCGCACGTGTTTAGTCAGATGTCGGCACCCGACATCACCAGTCTAAACTTACAGGAGCTGGATTTACCCGTTGAAGCGCCTGTCGATATATGGTGTCTCGATGGGTTGCGCCTCGGCGTTGCGGCTTAGAATTGTCAAGGCTTCATACAATCTCATGATGTCGATTGTATCCATTTCCACGAAATTGTTTGGCTACGAAGAAAATCAATTGCAGGAGAAGCAAGACTAATGAGACTCGCAAGATCGTTTGCTAGATTTTGTAAGTCTCTCCTCCTTACCTGCCTGTGGTATTACAGACTGTACTTTCCGTATTTGTCGCCACCCAGACCGACCTGCATCGTGGTTTCGTCCAAGATGCGTTGCAGTTCTCGCCTGGCCTCGATGACCGAAGCTTGAGTTGGTCCCTCGATAGCCTACACAACGCGAATATTAGCATATCCATAAGCTAGCTTATCTTCGTCTATGTATTGACGTACCAGGTAAAGTTTCCGTTCTGATGGATTGGGCTTCCGCCCAGCAGGAATATACGATCCTCGCGCAATAACAGCAGCACCAGTGAGCTCCGCCACTGAGTCGCTTGCTTCCTTCTGGGTAACTCTCCATCGAGCTTGCTGAGGATAATCATTAATTTCAAGCTCTTCGACGAAGTGGTTCTCTCCAGAACCGTTCCCCTTGTACTTCAAATCCAGATTCTGGATAATTTTCTGCGCCTTGATGAAGGCAGACATAGCCTCGCCATCGATAGGCATCGCCTTCTGACCAGCAGGCACAGACGGTTTGTCAGTTGTGTTAGCGGTGTTCTCTTTGCTCGGCTCTTCATCATCATCGTCGTCGGCAGCACCAGAATCCTACAAACATAAGAGCATAGCATTGTCAATATAATTGGTCGAATTGAGCTTGAAAGTATCGTACCTCAACAAGAATGCCCTGGTCCAGTTCATATTGGCGTCGCTGGAGGTCTGCTGTGCGCTGGGTCTCATTTCTTTCCGTCTCGTCGAATGTGAAGCCTTTGCCTTTGAACCCACTGCCGTGATATCTAGCTTCACCGCGCTTAACCTACACAGTGACGAGGAAAAAATATGAGTTCTTTTTTACAGAATAGTATAAAGATACGAGAATACATACCTTTGCTGTGAACCCTTCTGCAAGTGCTGTCAGTTCAGGCGGGACAATCTGTTTAGCGTTTTCTAATGCTTTGACAAGATCCACTGAATACTCCTCCTCCTGCAAGTAAATAAAAAAACGTAAGTGATCGATGCGTGTCTTGATAACGAAATAATTTTTGGCAATACTTACATCTGGAGAGATGAAGGTGTAGGCTGTTCCCTTTCGGCCAGCTCGTCCGGTTCGTCCGACGCGATGAACGTAGTCTTCCATGTGATTAGGACAGTGGTAATTGATGACAAGAACCAAATCCTTCACGTCAAGACCTCGACCAGCGACAGAAGTCGCAACCATTACGGTTCGCACCTTGCGTTTAAAGTCATCGATTGTGTAGTCCCGATCCACCTGATCTTTGCCACCTGCATCATCACCATAGCCACAGAACAAACGAATTAGCATCAGTTCGACGAAAAAACTGCCTAAGGTCTCAGTCGTACCATGTAATGAGAGCGCTGGATATCCAGCCTTCATCAAGTCTTGAAAGATTTGGTCGCAAGCTTGCTGTTTGTTCACAAACACTAGGATATTTCCCTTCTCGTACCACAAACCCAAAAGCTGCAGGAGTCGCATGAACTTGTCGTCTTCTTCACGGACTTCAACATACTGCGTAATATCGCCTGATGCCGTACTGCGTGTGCCCACGGTAATTTCCACAGGTTTCTTCAGCACTTTCCGGGCCAGAGATTCCACCGAGCGAGGGAAAGTGGCGGAGAACAGCAGTGTCTGTCGGTCTGGGCGAATGTTCATCATAATCTTCGTGATCTGCGGCTCGAAGCCCATGTCAAACATGCGGTCAGCTTCATCTAGCACGACATACGTCACCCGCTGCAGAGATACCATCTTTCCAGCACTCATGCACAGAATATCGATCATTCGTCCTGGCGTACAGATCACAATATCTGATCCACGCTTCAAGTTGGCAATTTGCTCCGAGACTGATGATCCTCCGTACACAGCAGTGGCGCGCAATCCAAGGCCCTTCGAAAACTTACGAGCTTCCACGTAAATCTGCTGAGCAAGTTCTCGTGCAGGAGCCATGATGATTCCAATTGGACCTTCGTTTTCTTGCAAAGGAGGTTGAGCGAGAATATGACGAAACATGGGGAGCAGGAACGCCAAAGTCTTGCCTGAACCTGTTTTCGCAATGCCAATGACATCACGTCCAGACATGATCGCAGGAAGCGCTTGCTTTTGGATAGCAAACGGCTCCTCGTAGCCGTGCTTCTTGATCAGCTGCAGCATGCGGACGCTGAAACCACATTGGGTCCATTTCTGCAACGGACGCGGACAATTCTTGCCTCGAACCTTGATTTCAGACTCCTTACGCTGTGCTTCCATATCTTCTTCCGATAAATCCTTGATTTCCTTAGGAGCCACATAAAATTTCTTCTGGAACGGAAGGTAATTCATCTTGGAGTGATCCACAGGCTTAATCTCCTTCTTCTTTTGCTGATCCTGAAGAATCTCGAGAGCTGAGCGCTGATCCATCAGCTCCGAGTCTTCACCGATAATATCTTCTTCAAAGCCCTGGTAGATACGCCCTGTATCTTGCTTTACCGCCAGATCTTCTGGTCCTGCTCCATTACCAGTAGCGACTGCAGCCTCCGTACCACTGTTAGTATTATTCTCTTCTTGTTTACGTTTCTCTTTAATTGCACGCATAAATTCCTTGAGTTCACGTTCCTCCCGAGCTTCACGCTCTTCAGGCGTCTCGTTGACAACGCTAGTCGACGTTTGAGTATCTGCAGACGGCGTAGTCGTAACTGTAGTCGCTTGTTCTGCTGCATCGGGCGGCAAGAATGTGCCATAAATATTGATTTTACCCTTTGCTTCGATTTCCGACTGCGAGATCACATTAGCAGCGGGGTTAGCGCGTGCTGATGCGTCCACCAGTCCAGCCATATAGGCGTCCAGAGGATCCACTTCCTCCACAACTTTCTGCACTCGTTCGCGTTGCTTTACTTCCTCCTCTTCCCGCTTTTTGCGCTCCTCGGGCGTCTCACCCTTCTCTTCCTCTTCTTCAGTGTTTAAATCCAGTTGCTTGGGCACTGCGTCCTCCTCTGCAAGAAATTTGGCTTTCTCTTCTTGTTTCTGCTCTTCAAGAAGAAATTTCTGCTTCTTGGTAGGCTCCTTCTCGTCATTAAGCGGTGGCTTTGTATCTTCACTCAGTGAATTAAAGAAAGCGGCAGGTTTCTTCTTCACCACGTTCTTCTGGTTACCAGGCTTCAGCGAGATACCACCGAACTTGAACTTCTTCAACGTCGCACTAGCTGTTGGCGCAGTGACTGCAGGGGGATCCTTAGCTGCTCTCTTCTTCTCGGAGCTAGAGCCACTACTCTTCGTAGCTGCGGCCTCTTGAGGCTTCGCATGCTCAGCGTGTCCATTCTTAACCTCGTTGTGTTTCTTAATCTCCTCCTTGGACTCGGATCTCTTACGTCTCGAAGCTTCCGCTCTCGTCTCGCTCCTGCTTCTACTACGCCTGCTGCTCTTCCGCCCGCTTCGGTGGCTTCTGTCTCTCTTCTTCTTGTAGCTGCTACGTCTGCCTTCCGAGCGGCTTCTGGAGCGCGAGTACGATGGCGAACGGCGTCGCTCTCTCCGCTCCGTCTTGGAGCGTTTGCGACGGTGTCTGTCGCCGGATTTGGACGAGCGGCGCCGCTCCCGAGATCGCGATCTGGAGCGAGACGCGTCGCTCGACGCACTGCGCGACGACAGCGAGCGAGAGCGCGAGCGTTTGCGGCGAGATGATGATGAGTGGCGACGCGATGAGCGACTTTTGCTGCGACTGCGCCGTCGCCGATGGCGACGGGGACTTGCGGCGTCTTGCGCCATTTAGGCTAAATGGAAAATGAGCGAAAATCCGTGGCTGGTACTTTGAAGGCGAGACGTTGGCGGTTTCTACCGTTCTGATTGGATGATAAAGACAAAAAATTGGATGTGGATTGGAGGGAAATGAAAATAGACCAGGAAAATGATGTGGACATTTGGAAGACAAAAGTGGACACTATCCTTTTTCAGAAGTAGAGGTATTCTTTCCGCTTGCGCTTGGAGAAGATGATGGCGCCGAACATGAGCGAATCGTAGTGAGGGAAATCGTTTGAATTGGGCAGATGACCGATCTCACCGAACGTCGTCATGCCCATCAAGGAAGCTCCACCCGACCAGTCCTTGTAAGCACCAACCTGTGTTCGACAAAAAAAACTTGCTGTTAGGAATACCAAGTGCAAGTCTTTACAATTATTGACACTTACCATCTCGGCCATACTCTTGTGGCCCAGCAGAGCTTGCACTCCGGCCGACAGGAACATCAGACAACCAATCGTCTCGTGAATGTAAAATTTGTTGCTTTCTACAGCTTGCGCTCCCATCTGAACAGGCAAAATATTGTCAGACTTGTTATCTTGCTGATAAATAGCGTTGCAATACAAACCTTATTGATGGCAGTTTTCAATGACTGCGCAGATGTTTCCATGAGCACAACGTTGGTACCGGACGCGACTGAACTCGTCGTGCTGAGTGAACCGTCCTCGTTGATACCAGTAATCACCGCTGTCATGTTGATGAGCTTGGACCAGTCACTCGATTGCATTGAGCACAGTGATGAAGAAGAGTTCGCATCAATGCTACGGTCGATTTCCATTTGATTCGAGACGAAGTCGATGGTGGTACCCAACGGATGCAGACTGCCCAGTCGAGGAAACCCGATTGAAGAGAGTTCAGTTTGACTCTTGTCTGATGCTACATCGAGCCACTGCAAAGAACAAACAAAACATTGGTTAGAGATTGTCAATGTACACAACATCACATAATAAGTTACCTCTTGATAAACTTCGGCCGCAGGCTTGCAGTCAATTTCGTAGATCGTCTTGTTCGACGCCTTCGTGACCGTGCCCATGCAGTACTCGCTGTTAACTCCAACCGGACTGTAGCCACTAAACCAGCTCACATACGTCTCCACACTTGGGAAGCAGAGCGCAAAAGCGATGCCCATTTCAGTCCAGTCGCCTCGACCATCTCGAACACTTTTCGTGTAATCTGAACTGCTGCTACTGCTGATCTGGATCCAAGACACCGAAATTTCGCCCTCACCGTGTCTTGTGGCATCTGAAGAGCAACCTCCGATAATTGGGCAGTGAATCGCCTCACGTATACCGTCGATAGCGTGCTCGACAAAGAGAGGGCACGCGTACGCTGCAATGAACGCTGGCTTTTCACCGGCATCAACGTCTCCTGCCACACGCGCAAACGCAGTCTTAGCTGCAGCATACGTCTTCTCATGGGCATCGCTCTGTGAATATTCCGCGTGGACTATGGAGTAGATTCCATGAGGATCATTTACACCCCATAAGGTGACGAGGCCTTCGTCGTTATGCCGGTTTACGGACACCCAAGCATTTTCGTCACACATCCCACGAGCGATCGTGCCGCCAATGTAGGGTACTCCAGGTGCTAACTGACGCAAAAGGTTCACGATCACTTCGGCGCTAAAGCCGGTAGAGAAGCCAACAACTACGAAATGGACATCACCACCGAGCTTTGTCATCAATTCTTGAAAGGCGCCAGTCATTGCGAGGGCTTCTGTCTTGTTTGTTGCCCACGCTGAAGCCGCATGGACGTAGCTACTACTGTTTTGCACGGGAAGTCTCTCCATCGAGTTGGATCGTCGCTCTGTGTCTTCCTGATTATCACGACTTGGTGGAGCTGATTGCTTCACAGGGTTTGGCACTGGACCGCGACGACCAGCACTGGATGAACGCCCTCTATCAGGGTTTTTCTTGGGAGCTGGCTTAGCCACATTCAGAGGATTATCTCGACCATGACCTGTTGCGCGCTCGATACTGACTTCTGAGTGCGATCGACGTACCCGACGCATATGTTTGGAGCTACGAGCTGCCTGTTCACCGTAGCTATGACGCTGTGGCAACTGCATATTGTTCTGCCGTTGCTTCCCAGCAGAGATTTTCCGAGACGTCCGTAGGTTCGAATCGCGGCGCTGTCGATCGTCAAGAGATTCTGGAAGTTCACGATATTGGTGAGAACGGTTGTCTCCATCCTCCTTCTCCTCCTCGTCATTATCCAAGCTGATTCGACGATACTTACGAGGCATTCGTTCCTCTTTCGCAACAGGAACTTGCTCCGATTCATCTCGAGGGTTTTCCAGCGCTCCTGACAGGTCTTGCGAGTGTGAAGGACTGGGCAAACGAAGCTGCTGAGTCGCTCCAGACTCGGCACCTGCAGCGAGTTGCTGCTGTTCTGTACTCCGTTGAATCCAATCCTTGAAATCCTCTTGGTTATTCAGCTCCCTGCCGCTCTTCGATCGGTGATGGGACACCACACACTTACTGCACACGCGGATACTCGGCTGATGGCGCGATAGTACCTGCTTGCCTGTGTCATTGTGCGTGAAGCTAATCGAAGGCACCCGGATAGTACTGCTACACGCCCAGCAGATCACTTCACCGCATGTACGGCAGTGGTGGCGTCGACGGAAGATCGGCGAAAAGCGCTTATTGCAAAGCACACAGAAGCGGCGTTCTCTGTGTCAAGACAAGGAAGAAAAAGGATACTTATTAACCAGAGACTGTCCAAGAGAGAGTTCCTAGTAACGTACTTGTCTTTCACCCAAGCGGAAGTCTTTACGACGGATATTTCTTGGAGTTCAGGAGGGTCCTCCAGTAAGTCACGTAGACCACGTGCAAGCTGCGTGACCATCTCAACAGCAGGGTTGCTACGAAACAAGCTCACCATCGGTGGAGGTCGCTGGAACGCGATGGAAATCGTGACAAAGTCATCTTTGTAATCTGGCGAGGATGTCCGCTCAAACTTGCAGATGAGTGCATCAAATTGAGAGCGCTCCAGGTTGTTCCCCTGGATGTGCGGCATGCCGCCTACCTCCGCCAGTGATTCCTGGAAGAGATAACATGCCACGATATCGCCACCAGACGTCTCGATGCCAATGTACTGTCAAACCAACCACACACAATGTACATATCGTCAGTGGATCACGTTAGGACGGCCATGTGGCCAGCAAAACCAGTAATGGCTGAAATATAGAAGAAGAGCAGCAGTCGCAGCCGCGCCACGTCGTCTACAGAGCTGGACAGCAACCACCTTACCTCCAACACGTAGAAGTCGGACGATTTGCTAGCTAGTGAGCCGGACTTGATGGCCCACCACTTAATAGCGGCCTGCTTGTACATCTCACGGGCGTCTCGCGGTGGATTGGCACTAGGGTAGACTCCAGTGCCGTTGAGATCTTCGAGCACCTCTGCATCCAGGAACATGTCGCCCAGCACTTTGCGCATGAACAGCTTGAACTTGTCGGACGTCTTGAGGTCGTAGATGGTCTTTAATACATTGGGGAAGGCTGCGTTGGCAAACACGACAGCCTTGGCTGAGACCGACTCGGACCAATCGGAGCTGGGCTTGTATACCCCAATGTCATTCTTACAGTCGTGCACCTTCCAGAGCGCACTGCTCGTGTCGGACAACAGGCCAAGGCACGAGCGAGCGCGGTTCTCTGCATATTTGTGCAGGCGAATCTTGCGCTCGTACGAGAGTGACGGACCCTGTGGTGGCGGGATGAACTCGTCTTCTTGCGAATTGGAGTTGTCAGCTGAGTCGCTCCAGTCCGGCGCGTTGGCTGCGGCTGCAGCCACATTCACGTCCGTTGGGTCGGGAGCTGCAGTAGCGCTGGTTTTTGACGCTGCTGGCGGCGCCGCAGCGCCCTGGTTCATCCTGTTGCCTACTGGTATTGTTGCGCTAACCTGTCGCTGCTGCTGCCTGCGTGTGACGAAGCTACCGACGGACGATCAGACCAGATGGGATACGTCTTGCCGTCGACTCGCGCTCTCCAGGATTTCTTGGCGACGCGGAGACTGATTAAGACGGGAGAAACGCGAGGGAGGGATGAACGATGTACAACACAAATAAGAGAACGAAGCTGCCGAGCTCGAGACGCGTTCTGCCCAATGGTGCTGTCCTCAAGGCGCCGGACGCAAATCGGCTTGTATTCCGGTCACTTTCCATGAACGTTTCCACGGGCAAACGATGTACCACGATATGTGGCACACACAAACGATAAAATGTCATCGGATTGGTCGAAATTTAGCGACCAATCCGCAATGGTCGACTAGCGCGACGCTTGAAGGTACCCAATCGCCTCGTCGACAGGAACGTGAGCAAAGGAACCTAATCACTATGCAAGTTGCAGTCCATCAAGAGAAAACCATCACTCTTGCTCTCTCATGGACGTTGCGCTGCCTCCGCCCGCGGCGGACCTCATGACGGACGACCTCGTCCACTACGTGGCGGGCTTCCTGTCACCTCCCGACCTCATGGCAGCCATGTGCGTAGAACGTAGCGTTTCTCTTCCGTTCTCCGGTCACAAGCTGAACTGATCGTTTCTGCTTGTAGCCAAGTGAGCTCGTGGTGGAGCACCGTGTGCTCTAGCGACGTCATCTGGCGCCGACTGTGCGTCTCTCGCTGGCTGCTGCCGCGTCCCGAGCGTCTCAAGCGTAGCACCGGCACCACGAGCTTCTTGGAGCTGTATCAGTTTCTAGACCACGCACGATATCTACCACGCGGCAAATTCACGACCAAGGTGAATTACTACTGTCTCTAACAGCGAAGGGACAACGATGCTGATTCTATATGGTTATACTCTTACAGCACCAGATCGTTTGGGCCCGTGGTCGCGATGAGGGCGCGGACGTGTGGATGACAGTAGCTCACAGCTCCAATTGCCAAGTACTCTCGACCGCCGGGACGCCGTATATTCAGCTACGAGTGGTGGTACAGAATCTGCGCCCTCAGCCATTGATGGTCGATCTGCAGGAGCTTGAAGTGCGCATGAAAGGAGGTAACGAGGGGACAATCTTCGGGGTCGGACCAATTGCCAACCAGCCGAGAGTTGAAGCTGCAGATGCTGCGCGGATTAAACAGTTGGCGCCTGTTGTACTGGCAGTTAACGGAGTCGACGTGTATCCATCGCTGACGAGCCAGTTAATTGAGCTGAAGATGTTCGATTTTGCCGTGCTTGTAGTCAACGTCGTGTGCAATGGATGTGAGTTCGAGCCCGACTTTTTGGAGTCGTGCAGTGCGCTTTGGCTACCGATTCGCCGAATGGGAAGATGCACGTCGTTGAGCACGTGTCGCTGTGGGTTCATTCCCGACAGCTACCATCGTGGCATTATCCGCGTGCCTGTGGTGGACGAGTCCGTGATTTGGCGGCATTACGACCTGGTGTCAAATCGTTTCATGGTGCGTTCTGCTGTAACTCGGCAGGCTCTGTTGAGTCTGCTGGTATTATCTCGGAGATGCACAATTGCTGATCTGTTGTGCTCCTCTATGCGTGTAGGTTCTGAATACTCGGTCAATCGAAGATGTAGACCAGTTCAGTAATTTATTAGGTTCACCTGTCAGTCACTTTTCCAAACGGAAGCGTAGCATCTCATAAGGAGCTAAAGCCGATATACATGTACGAAAGGAGACGTGCAGGAATGAGATAGTAGCCAAAGTTGCTATGTATTTGTAAATCGAAACAAGGTTTACTGCTGCAATCCAGGTACTTCGTAACCATTGGCCCCAGAACTTTCAGTTAACGCGATCCAATTTTTCATGACCGGGTGCCTCTTCACGCCACTTGAAGGATCGACTGGAATAACTAACGAGTAGCGGGATGACTACCTCAGAAGACATTGAGAAGGACGTTGTGCCTGCGGCAGATGCATCGTCGAAGAAGATAGCGAAGAGCCCGTGGCTTTCAGCATACCACAACTCCGTTGCAGGCATCAAAGCTGGATCTAGCTGCATGCAGTTGGTGGACGTCTACGGCGATGGTGACGCGAAACTCGTAGTTGCAGATGGAGACCAGCGGCTCAAGATGTACAAAGGTACTTGTTTAGCGGTCTTCAGTACTAGCTTAAATCTCACTGCGGTCTTATACCTATCTAAGGTTCGGCACTCCATGGAGAGCAAGCTATCCTCGGAGTGCCATCAGCCCTGAGCTACTTCTACTCAGGTACGCTAACAGGAACAAACTGAGTTTTCGAAGCCCACAACTAACTCAATTCTTCTGGGACCTTCCTAGATAACAACCGACCACGGATTCCAGCGATTGCAGTCGCGTCGGGACCATACATCTTCATCTATCGCAATTTTCGACCCCACTACAAGTTCACTGTGCCGTCCATCGAGATGGACGCCCAGGAGACAAAGCTATGGGAGGCTCTGGCGAAGTGTACAATTGAAGTTCCTGATGCACTCGCTCAACTTTTAACAATGCGGTACGCATTCATTGTTTACGAAAGATACTTTTTGTCTTGTATACTAAGGATATTGTATAGTGGTCTGGGTATTCGCTTATCCGAACGATCAAGGGGTCTGCTGGCAATCGACAACATCGAAGAACAAGCCGAATACGTGTCGAGATTTATGGACGATCCACTAATCGAGCGCTCTTGCGTGACCTGCATGACGTCTATCAACAAGAATATGGATGATAAAGATGCAGTGAGCTGGTACGTGTGAACTTCAACATCCCATCGAGCTTGGATTTAACTTACAGTTTTGTAAATGACCAGCCTTGTCGTCGCAACCGAGGGCTGTATGGTATACGTATTGGATCCTCAGGGTACGTCCCTCATCCAGCAAATAAAAGTTCCTGGCGTACCAGTGGAAATTGTTGCTGTCGGACTGCTGGAGGTCGAGTGTCGACTGGTTATAACGACACGAAACGGCTCCGTGTACATGATCAAGAATGGAGAGCTGCTGAAATCAGTGATTGAGCTGGAATCCCCTGCTTGCGGCCTCGTACAGCTAGAGAAAAGCATCGTCATTGCCTCGATGAGTCGGAAGCTTACGTCGTACCATCTCAAAGGCAAGAAGAACTGGAGCTTAACCATGAGTGACGATATTGTCGCTCTCGAAGCCTTCAGTCTTCGACGTACCAAGGATACTCGGGGCGTCCTCGTTGCATTACGCAATGGCGAAGTGACATTGTACAACGAGAAGGTCAAGGTGTGCACGCTGAGCACGGAGACGGTTCTTACAGGGATGCGATTCGGTCAATATGGACGCGAGGAAGCCTCACTTGTTCTTGTTCAAAAGAGTGGTGCACTTTCGCTCAAGATCCTGAAACGCACTGCCAGCTTGGAAGCGATCTCAGAAGCGGCAGGGCCTCCTCCGGAGCAAGGTAACTCTTACAACGTTTTTAGCCCATCTTTTGTCGTTGTAACTCACTAACGTTTTGTTTAGATATCCCGCTGAACATCCCTAAGAAGACAACTTTGTATGTCGAGCAGACTCAACGCGAGCGAGACCATGCCACCGAAATGCACCGCCACTTTCAGCGTGACTTGTGCAAGTTGCGTTTAACCACAGCTCGCGCTTATGTCAAGATCATCAAAGACGGACAGGTACGACCTACCAATTCATTGATATGTGGACAATAATGTTGACACCACCATTTTACAGGGGCCGGTGTCATACTCGACGGGCGCAGCAATTCGCTTGAACGCGCAGGTGCAGGGAATCGGTCCATTCTTCCGAATCAAGCTGAATGTGCAGGTACCAGTACAAATTATACTTGCCGAGGTGAGTGATCCGAATGAAAACTAACTTTTACGTTGATAACTGTTTAGAACGCCGGTACCAAAGCAGTGACCGACATCACCGTTGCTTTCCATTACGATCACGAGCTGTATCGCGTCCAGCAGAGTCTGTTGCTCATCCCGCTCGTGATTCCAGTGGGTTTTGGGCATCATTATATCGCTTTTTCGCTGTTCGACGCTTACGGTTTGTTGTGTTTTACTTCAAGAATGTGCAATATCAGTATGCTGTTGACGTGGAGAGCATCTCGGAGCTCGGCGCTGCCGACAATGTGTCCATCTTCGTATGCGGCAAGGAGAGGTACGCAAAAAAATGAAATCTATATACACCAAGGTTGTGGTGCTAACGTGGAACTTCGTTGACTGTCGCGTTTTAGCTGCGTCCCGTTGGTTTCCGCCGTGGTGAGTATGCCACTGAGTGAGCCCGAGATGTAGTTTGCAACAAACAGCATGGAAAAATATCGACACAAAACTCCAATACATTTATAGCGAGAATATCGATAGGAGTCGATCAAGGAAGCAAACAGATTAATCGGCCAGAGTTCACAACTCCGACCACACGTAGGACATCCACCCAACGTACGTTGCGTTGCCCCAACGTTACCATAACTATCGACCACACCACATCGATGTCCATAATGGCAGCGTTGGACAGAGAGAAGATCGGCAAGATACCCCGTAATCAAATGCCGGTGGAGGGAGCAGATGTTTGCTCCGTTTTCCTACTATACGTTTAACTACTCTCAAATGGGAAAGCTCTCGCTTCCTTCGTCTTCACTACATGGTGTACCCTTCGCAACCCCATTCGCGCTGTTCGCGCCAACCGATGGAGTGCAAGTAAGAGCGCCCACTGCGAGGTCTCCTCACTCGCCTACGCAGTCAAGCACGACTTCATAATCATGTCAATGGCTGTCCGTGTCCACCGTTATCAAGGGATGAGGTAATAGTTCTCAAGATAGATATTACAGTATATTTGTATGGGATTCTTTAATTTGAGATATAAGATAATAGAGTCTCCGGAGATTAAAAAACGAGCCATGTCGCAGTCACGATGTTGATGCAGCCCAGAGACTCTGGTCTTGACCGTAATGCAATTCCTGCAAGGGACCTCCCCGATTCATCCCAAGCACTCACGGCATATCGCAAGTCACCTTGCTCCTCCTCCATCGACTGGAGATTCTCCATCACAACTCAATCGAGTGCGTCCTTCGCCGTCACATTGACGGTTAACCGACAGTAGTCTTCAGAGCTGACCAAGTCATCAAGGAACCGACAACAGATCAAACAGACATGGCGGAGGCACCAGCATCCCCAGCGCAAACCGACTTCCGCGCGCTGCGGTCTCAGAACTCAACTCACTCTCTCGGCGACGCGATGGTCTCCACTCAGTACGAGTCCGTGGAGGACAAGGGGCTCCGCTCTATGACTACCCGACGCAAAGCGCTTATTGCTGCGGTTGTGTTGGTTGCAGTGGCTGCAGTGATCGCGGTTATTATCGTGCTGGTTAACTCGGACGACGATGACAATTCGTCAGATGACAGCGCCACAATTACTGCGACCAGCTTGCTGGCTCTGTCTCATGTTGCTGTTACCAATGTGACTCTGGTGAGTGCGACGTCGGATGACGATGCCAAGGACTCATGTGTGGAGCTCGAGTGGATCCCAACGGGTGTCGAATGGACAACTTCGAGTGGAAATACGATTTCGTTCTTATGTATGCTGCAGAGCGTGGAAGCCACCAGCACTGAAGACGTTGGTGCAGTCGATCTGGACGCGATCTCTGTCATGCGACGCATTGTGGTTGTATCGGATGCCGAGAGTTGTCCGTCAAATATGCAGATGGTCGCGAATCCCAGCGCTAATTTATTTGTCTGCGTGGAGTTCCTCTCGGCGAGTACTGCCTTTGACACTGAGCAGTATGTGGTGGATATCATGACAACGACCGAGTCTTTTTACAACCATGATACGCCAGGATGGATCACTTGGCCTGCTGACCTCAAGATGGAATCAAGCGCTTCAAGCGTGTATCTGAGCGCTCGCTATCCGGTCCGCCCTATTGTAGCGCTTCAAGTTCTAACTGATGTGTCTACCGACACCGTTTATTCCACATGTGATGAGCTGGAGCCTCAAGGAGAATGGGAAACCCCGGGATTCGTGCTCAAGTCTTCTGACGGTGCTGCGGTTAACACCGACTCCAGTGACGTCATCATCTGCGTTCAACGTCCACTAGCAAATGCGACTGGTTCATTCTCGGTCTTGACAGACCTCAATGTGGTTCTACCGACCGATTCCTGTCCAGAGGCAGGCAGCAACAGCACAGAAATCACGAGTGACCAGATGAAATTGTGCGCGGAATGGGGAGTCGTTGACTTTGGCAGTAGCAGCTCTAACTCTTCAGTTTCCAGCGAGGCAACTTCGTCCTTTGTAGCTGAGCTGGCACTCTACGAAACTTCTCAAGCTGAAGGCGCGGATTTCAACATCTCGTCGACAGTTCCTGGTAACTGGGACGTCGTTGGAAACGAGAATACGGGCTCCGTTCAAACATTCTTCTTGGCGAGGAAATATGAGCCTTTTGTTACGGAATCGTCGAGTTCTGGCAGCAATGATAACGAAGTTTCATCGTCAGTGGAAGCGATTGCCTCGAACTCTAGCGAGACCCTATCGTTCAAGGTGCTCCAAATTGCAGACATGCATCTAACGGGTAACCCTGACTACGCGTGTTCAGAAGCTCCTAGCAACATTCGTGCCAGTCTTTTAGCTGCAGCGTCGATTATCGCTGAAGAATTGAGGGAAGAAAGCAATTCATCGAGTTCGGTACGTGCTGGCGAAGACAGCGACCCAATGTACAACGAATGTCGCGAGGCGCTTACCGTTGCGTTCCTCGACGAGCTTCTGGACATTGAGCAGCCCGACTTTGTGGTGTTCACGGGTGACAACGTCCAGACGGATCTAGATACCACGATGCATACGTTCGCGATGAATATCTTCTCTGCGCGTGTCGAGCGTCGAGGAATCCCATGGGCTGCAGTGTTTGGCAACCACGACGCTGAGGGAGGATTGTCACGGGAAGAAATGCTGGAGTTGATGGTAGAGGGAAAGCAATACTCGCATGTCAAATACGGGCCACGCGACATTGGCGGCGTTGGCAACTACGAGGTCAACGTTGTGGCACCAACTAATGGTCCGTGGGGTGTGCAGGGGTCCACGGTGTTCCGTATGTACTTCTTGGACTCGCATGCTACCATCGACACGGCAACATACCCTTTAATTAACGATGCGTCCGACTACGACTGGATAAAGGAGTCTCAGATTGCGTTCTACCGAGAACTAGCAGAGTCTCATGCTGCTGAAGTGTATACTAGCGACAACAACTCGTCGGTGAATGGCAGTGTGCCTGCAGTCATGTTCTACCACATCCCAGTGCCAGAGTACGCAATGGCCTCGACGTTGAACCGGATTGGAGACAAACACGAAGCTACTGCGAGTGCTGAGGTGAATAGCGGTTTGTTTTCAGCTCTCGTTGAGATGGGGGACGTCAAGGCTACCTTTGTGGGCCATGACCACATCAATGAGTACTGCTACTTGCGTCAAGGAGTTCAGCTATGCTATGGTGGAGGCATTGGACTCGGCAGAGCTTACGGTCTCACCAGCTTCGAACGACGTGCACGAGTGCTTGAATGGACATTCAATGCCAACCAGACACGCACGTTGCAGAGCTGGAAACGGCACTTCGACGATCCCACACAAATCCAGTCGCTCGAGTTGCTCTACTCGGAATAGGAAACCACTTCTACGAATATTCTAACAGGTCCTGTAAACCATCCCATAATATAACCGCTGCGTTCTCTACTTATCCGGTGCCAAGATGCCCCGTTACGCTGACCATTCTTCAATCTTCCGTGTTGAAAAACCCATCGACGATGCAGCTCTGGAGTCACTTCGTTGGAGTATTGGCACTATTGGCAATATCTTCGAGAACTGCTGCTTTGAATCTTGAAGGCTTCACGGGACATGAACTGAGCCCTTACACCAACACGGTGCTGCCACCAGACCGCGTTGAAGCTGCGTCTCCAATTGTGCAGGGAGTGTGCTACTCACCTTTCCACAATTCGGAGTATCCGTTGAACGGAGGTAGTGCTGCGGGGCTCGATTCTGCCATGGATACTGACTTTAACATCATGAAAAACTACGTCAAGGTAGTACGCACCTACTACTCCAGCTTCTACGGCTACGACATTACGCCATATGCTGCGAAACACAACGTCCAGCTTTACCTCGGTGTCTTTATGACCGATGAGAGCTGGTACAACGACCAAGTGAATGCTGCTATCGCTGCTGTAAGGAATTATCCGGATACAATCAAGGCGATCCTAGTTGGCAATGAGAACATCTATCCTGCTGGCCCATATTCACCTACCGACGTTTTAAACCGGATCACTGCTTTACGTGCACGAATTCTAAGCGAGACCGGACGTACGGTAAACATCGGTACAGTCCAGCGACACAACGAGTGGACGGCTATTAGTATTCGCTCCACTATGCTGGCACTAGCTGAAGGTTGCGATATCGTAGGAGTCAACATCTATCCGTTCTTCGATGCCTCGTACACAGTAAGTAACCCGCTGGCGATGCTTAATGGCGCCTGGAACAACATGTTGAATATCTACCCGTCCGACAAAGTTCGTCTCACGGAAATTGGCTTCCCCACTGCTGGAGCGCCACCTTCCTTCGCACCTTACAATGTGCCGAGTCTCGCTAATTCGATCTCCTTCTACAAGGCCTTTTTGAACTGGAGCCCTGTGAGTGGCGGTCAGGAGGTCTTCTGGTTCATGTTCTTCGATCGTCGACCTGATGACAATACCATGGGGATCGAGCTGGAAAAATACTTCGGCTTCTACACTTGGGATAGGCAGATCAAGTCGTCCAGCTACCCGGATTTGGTCACGGCAGCCACTCCAACTGCAGCTCCAACAACAGCTCCAACAACAGCACCGACGTCAGCTCCAGTAACGGTAACCCCCACCTCTGCTCAGGTGTGTCGTGTCCACAAGGTTTACTCCAACTAAGGCTTGGAGAATGGTCATTTGATTAGCTTCTTAAACACACAAATAACGCTTAGCATACCTAAGCAGCATGATTCACATACCCATTTGCTCCCAAATCTCGAGACATTGTCAACAACTGAAGCATCCATTTCTTCTGTTACTCACCGACTTGGCGAGGGATTAGAGGCACATATCGAGCATACTGTCGTTCTGCTCCGGTCGAATGTAAGGTAACAGACTCTCACCGAACGCTTCGAAAAGCAGGGCCACAATATTACCCATTGCAGACGACGACAACGATGATGAAGCGCTGCGGTCCATTGACTTGGACATTGAAAAATAAGTTCCTGATGCGTGCTGCAATATCACATCCGATCACGGAGTTAGGCTTCTATGCATTCCACCTTAAGTCGCCATATTTTACTTACCACGAGGATTCCAAGGCAGTTCTGCGCCTCAAGTCTTTGAACAAGATTGGGGTTCGACGACAACAGTGCTGGCTCCAGTCGTCGGTAGTATTTCTCCAAGTTGGGAAAGAGCAAGCTCTCCATCACAAGTGGGCCCAAGAAGAGCATACCTAAGCAGCAAGAAAAAAACATTGCAGGAGGTAAGGAAACAATCGTTCTCCAAGCATCACGCAAATCATACCGTGAAGGGCACCGTATTGAGTTGAGAACGGACATACAGGATCCGTGATTGCCTTGTGGTACGTCTTGGACACACGCGCCTGAATATTGGCGTACTTTTCACCATAACGTTCGCAGATCTGAGCCACCAACTTGGCCGCGTACTTGCGTAGCGCCCAGTGGTCATCTGCAGGGTTCTCACATAGCTGCGTGCCGAGCACGCACGTCAAAATGGCAGGAATCAATTGGTGTAGCTAGAATAACAACGGGTTAGTTCAGTACTCCCAATCCCTCTATATAACAATTACGTACGTAAAGCTCCACGTGAAGACTCTGATTGACGAGCAGACAGCGACACGCTCGCATGAGCGAGAAGAGCAGCGACAGGTCGTGGTTGCTGTGCTTCACCTCCTCGTAGATAAACCGTGAGAAATAGGGCAGCAGCTGATGAATACCTGGGTCCTGAGCGAGACTCGTAAGCGCCGCGCGTTGCAGCTCAAAGTCGTCGCTTTTAACGGCCTCTGTGACCTTGGTATAGTACAGCTGCATCTCTTCAGTCAGTACGTGCTTGACCCTTGGCTTCCTGTCCACATGATTGACAAAAGCTTCGTCCTTAATGGATGTGTGGCATGTCGAGTCGTCCTCCACCGACTCGTTCTCAGGGATCAGCGGCTGTACGCCGTCCACCGCCAGCCAATGGAGATTTAGAACAGGTTGTAACGGGATCTGGCCCAGTGGGACGTTGAGCAGCTCATTCAGCTCCAGTTCCTCCTCCTCGGCGAAGAATAGCGTCTCGCTGTCCTCGCAAGGCTTGTATTTGACGGTTCCAGGAGATGAAAAGCCGTATAAACTCTATAAATCGTACAGTTAGGATCAGCAATTAGCGCTCATCTTTGTATTGGGTACTTCACGGTATTTACCTCCAGGTTCCGCGCCTGCAGAGCCTGATTGACATGTGTGGGGTCCAATTGGGGTCGTCGCGAGTGCCGCTGGAACTTGAGCGCATCCTGAACCACCTGACGCACACGTAGCTCCACCTCCGGTAGTAGTTCACGTACACACTCGTCGCTGATATCGTCCAGGCCGAGGCTCTGGGCCACGATCTGCAGCGTCTCAGGGCGCAACAGACTCATGCTTTTGGCGAAAAACAAAAATGAAGACTGACAAAACAATTGCCTGCTTTCACAGAGAGTGACAAAATATACGGTTCGTCTTGACGAAAATAGGCGTTAAATTTTGTCGCCACTGGATGTACCCATTTTAGTGGTCGAAATCGACTTCAACTTACTAAGTACTACTTCGAAGTATTGTACATGCTTGAGGGAGTTGTAACGTCTAGTTGCTTGGCGTGCTGTCCATTCGCCCGAAGATTCGCTTGAGTCGCTCACAGGTTTGGTTGTCCAGGCCGATATAGCGTTCAGGGAAGCCGGAACTGGGCGGACGTCGAGTCAAGCTTGGACTCTTGAAGATACTCAGGTCGGTCTTGCGGTTTACGTCCGAGCTTCGAGCTGTGATGCGACCGTTCTTCATTCCTCCGACTTCATTATTACATTCGTCCAGCAAGTCTGCACTCTTAAAGGCCGGATGGTATGGACTGTACTTGTCGAAGCACTTGGGGGTCTCAACACTCCGCCTCCGCAATGATGTATCGGCGTTCCTTTTCTTCTTGGATTGCGCAGTAGGTGTCTGACTACGGCGTGAAGCTCCACTTGAAATTGACAGTGAAGCAGGAGGCTGCTTTTTCCGCTCTGAAGTAGCTGTCGAGAACCCAAAATATGGTTTCTTATCGTCTATTGTCGCTGCTGCAGGACGATCACTCGCTACAAAAGGTTTGGCCCCCCACAGTGACTTTCGTCGTTCAGATGATAGCTGAGTCGACGAGACTTGAGTCATACCGCAGCTGTCTCCCACTTGGCTATCCGTTGTCGACAGAATGTTGGCTTTGCTGCTTAGTCTCGGTAGTGAGGGCAATGAAGTCGCGAGCTCGTCAAGAGGAAAATGAGATTCGACGTCCAGCTGCCGCCGTTGATCAAATTTCATCGACTCTGCGTTATTCGTTTCCATCGAAGGTGACTCAACACCGTTCTGCTCCGGCTGCTCGTCGGAAAAGGCTTGTTCTGTTCCATTCTCGCTGTCCTCAACCGCGTCAATAAACAGTGGCAGTTTGCCGTGGTCATGCACATATCGTGCCACCAATTCATCCACGACGTGCTTGTATCTCTCCACACTAGAGAAATACAACTGGAGTTGGAGTCTGACAGCACCACCGCAGAGTTTAGACACAACATTCCCTGGTTTAGTTGACCCCGTCGACTCTGGAGGGACGTTGAGACCAAGTGAAAACCACTCAATGACTCGCTTCTGATGCAATAAAGTGTGCAGCGGAATACGAGCTTCCCCTACGAGTTGTTCGCGACTCAGTCTCCGGTCGTTTAGAATGCGAATATGGAGATAACCACTAAGGGACAGAATCGGAGTTATCTCGAACTCTTCGTCCCAGACAGGATAAATGCTCTTCTTCTTGGTCTGGCTACGAAAAACTCTCCCTACCATGCCGTTGGTACTCAAAGAGGGAGATAAAGCATGGGAAGGATAAATCACTTCCAGACACACATACGGATCCAGATTTTTCGTTCTCAAATGTGCCGTGGGAAGATCTCGAGCTGCCTGGAGCACAATTTTCAGCGAACCTCGACTATTACCGTGTCGATCCACTTCGATCTGGCTAACGGGATCAAATTTGCTCTTCGCTTCTGCAGTTTCCAGACGCTCACATATCTTCAAGATTCGCTGAGCACTCGTCACATCCGCTAAGTTCGCATCGTTACTGGCGCTGTCACGAAAAGCTGACACTCGATCCTTGGCCATCACGTACTTCCGAGTATAGTACACATCCACACGCGCAAACTCGTCGAAGTCATCGCAGGAAACCTCGTCAACAGGAGTATCAACCGCTGCTTCGTTTGCCGACGTTTCTCCGTCTTCATCACAATTTTGTTGTGAACATTCGAGTTGATATTCAGCGTGAACATCACTGCCGTGTGTTGGTTGAGTAGTGTTAGATTTAATCCCAACTTGAAGACGTGTTTCCAATGCAGCGGCAATCGCTTGATGCAAGTCCGTTTGGTTTCCATTTCCAGCTATCCCATCAGTAGATCTTCCGGCTGAAGTTGCCAGTTTTTGTGACAACTTCTCGTAAATATCGGCTTTAATCTCTTCCAGCATCTCTGGGTTCAGCAGCTCATTAAAGTGCAGATTCTTGGGTAGCAATCCTTCAGTATCCAGCTCAGTAAATCCATTCGTCAGTGACGCTATTTGACCGTCAATTGACGAGGATGTAGACGGAGTTTCGACACTCCCTCTGGTAGGATTCCCCGTCAAATTTACGATATTCGGTGCTTGTACATCGAGAGTTGAACCTTCATTTCCGCGTTGAGGGAGCATAACTCGCAAGAATTCGAGACTGGCTGCACGTTCACGTTGAAAAAGTGGACTAAGTGCTGATGATTCGTTTAACGAACTGATCTGCTTGAGCTCGGCCTCGACTTCTTTGAGCTCTTCTAGTAATGATGAGATACGTCTCTCTTTGAGCTGAATTCGATCAGTTACCTCGCGATGTCGAGTACGCAGTTCATCCACCATTTGTCGGCTTTTAGCTAGCGACTGTGCTTGCTTAAAGCTGCCTCCATCTTCATCCTCACCCAGATCGAGTTCTGCAGTGGTTTGACCACGCAGTTGAGCCATTAACTGACTCATTTGCATGTGAATTTCTTCTTTCTCCACGATCACTAGCTGCAATTTGTGAGTTAGTGCGAAAATCTCCTTATCAAAAGGTACATCCGAGATTCTTGACGACTCCACTGGACTAAACTTTTCACGAATATTGTCTTTGCCTTCCGAAGAATGTAGATCAGACTGCAACACCCGCTTGGTCATACGCACCATTGTATTCTCAATCTCTTTCTCTTTATCCTCAGCAAACCGTAGTTTGTTACGTAGAATTTCCAGTCGTGCGCGTCCAGTTGCTTCGTCTCGGAGCTTTTTGCTTTTACTTAGGGGTGAACCAGATGGAGAAAAGGAGAAGCGAATGGCACTGGGATCACCATCGAGACACGCCTGGATGTTGACACTTAGACAGTCGATCTGGTCCGCATAATGTGCACTCTCTTGCTTCAGTACATGCAATAGATGCTCCTCGTTCCGGATCTCTGTTAGCAGCGATTGTTTGCATGATTGAAGAGCTTGAATCTGCCGGACCAGTACGTCTTTATCCACGAAAGGTGTTAGTGGTGAAGCCTCTACTGCAGGCCGACGTGGTTTGTATTGAGGTGAAGGATTCTTCCTTGGCGGCAAAGGCGGTGGAGTCATAAGTCTCAGTTCATTTTGCTTGCGGTACCATTCTCTCATTTTGGATGGAGACTTTAATGGAGACGGTGGCAGGGAATGACTACCAGAGAAATACGTGTTGGGAGCAGCGTTGATGGTCAAATTCTTCCCTCTGTTGCTAAGAGCACTGGAAGACGAAGATCGTACGTGCAAAGTTGGAGAATGAGTATCCTCGTATGCTGGACAAGCTGTGTCATCTTCAATAGTTGGGAAACACGATAACCGACTACCATTGAGCTCATTAGTTCCAGACGACTCATCTTCCTTTAAGCCAAAATCCAAGGGCGCGGATTTCGGACGTCGTGGGGAGTTATCAATACTTGAATTCATTTCCAACAGTGCATTCCGAACTTGATCAAGACTTTGAGAACTTTTATGTGATTGCCGTATCGTTGGTGGGGTGGTGGGCCGAGTCATCGGAGTTGAAGGAGGCGATAAGACATCTTCGTATTCTTCTTGGCGTTCTTCACTTTCATCATCATCGTCTTTATCAGCATCAACATTTTCGTTTTGTTGCTCTCTAGTGATAGTTACACTTGGAATCACACGAAGCGGAGAGCAGGAGGCATCTACGAACATTTTGCTTTTGCTGCTGCGCTTCAGCACTTCATTAGCGATTGGGGACATGGGCATACACGCAGCGTCTCGAGACTCGATTGTACACTCGTCCATATCTTCAGTCTCTTGGCCTATGTTAAGCTGGCTATCGCGATCTGAAAAAGAACCACGTCTTCTTTCGACACTCCTCTCGGGTGATGAAATGCGTGGAGCGGACTGTGGCCGCTGGGTGGAGTAACTTATTTTATGCCGCGCTGCTATCGCCATTGCTATCCGCTCTGGGTCACTAACTTCACTTTTAGGAGGGGATGTGGACCGCCGACGATCAAGATTAAGCATAGCCACCTCTTGTTGCAGCTGTAACAATTGTTCAGTAGCTGTAGACCAAGCTCGAGACTTGTTCTGTAGAAGCTTAGACTTGACTTGCAGCTCGCCTTTCAATCGAAGATTCTCAGCTTCCAATGCACTTTGAGCCTCAAGTAATCGGCTCTGTTCGTCTTCATGGACTCGACCTGCTTCACGAAGACACGCATCCTGTGAAAACATGGCGTTACCGAATCGCTTTGCCGCTCTATCACGAGCAACTCGTGAAATCTCTACATCATCTAGACGTTCCAACGATCGGATCTTGCAGATTACGTAGTCTCTATACGTTGGTAGACGACAAAATGGGTTGGCTGCGAGATTGCACGAGAGCAAATTGGCAAGTGGGGCTAATACATCCACCTCACGCAGAGTACCCAAGTTATTTCCCGAAAGATTTAGCACTTCCAGCATCGTCAAACCAGAAAAAGCCCGTGGCAAATGAGCGATGAAATTCCCCGATAGATCCAAGTGGGTTAGTCCTTTGAGAGCAAATAGTGGAGCCGACAAAGTCTTGAGATGATTGCGTGGTATCGCAAGTTTTTGTAATTGAGAGAGCACTTGCAATCCATCCAGGCGTTCAATAGCATTACCCGACAAGTCCAGCTGAATGAGATTCGTCAATTCGGATAAAGCTTTTAGACTTTTGAGAGGACGACGGGGCTTTCTGGTGTTTGTGCTGAGGTTCAACGCTTGGACTTCAATTGGTGCTTGTCTGAGAGAAATGCACGCTAAGTTTACGAGTTCCTGGTCACTGGACAGTGAAAATGAGCTTGAATTGCTGGGAAAATCACCAAAAGAGCTTCGTGAACCGAGAGATCGAGAGGTGATCATCGGTGACGACCCCACTGAAGCTGGAATTGACATTGAAGGGGTTGCACTTCCGTTGCTGATTTGGTCGTCGTCATAACTGTCGCTGCAACTTGTTGATAATGCTCCATCCTCTGTCGATGGAATGGTGATACTGAGTGGGGATTCCATAACTTCCTCTGAGTACGTGATAAACTCGATCTCGCCCGCGTCCTCCTCTCGTAACAATTCGACGTCGGAATGATCATCCATTTCACCTCTCGGCAACCGACTCAATCAAATGTAAAGCTCAGAAGCCCGGTAGCAAGAGTAAATGCCTCAAACTCAGACCTCAAAATAAAGAGAGCTGTTGTCTGACGTATAAATAAACAACCAGCCAGCGCTTTTAGACAATAAAAAAGGATTTCGAATATCCGTATCAACCAAAATCTATTCTGCTTTTTACTCGAAATGAGCGGCAGCTATTCATTCCAATGTATCCTAGGGGTCGTTCTAGAGTGAGCTAATGAACGCGCAAATCCAAATCATACCTATACATGTACGTGAGACCTGTATCCTGGTTTCTTCACAGCTCATTCAAAGTCGTGACCAATATAATTCGTCACGACCTTGGTCAATGATTGACCAAGCGAGATTTTAACTATACGCAGTGGCAATGATGACCTCACGCCAACCCTCGAATTCTAGAAACGGATATCAAAAGTAATTGATAGGCGGCATCGCCTACCCGTCGCAGAGGAAAGACGACGCTTCGCTGCGTCCCTCGGTGCAGTTGACAAAGGCACAAGGTCAGAACTTTTATCTCGATGGAATCGCTGTACGCTCGAGACACGCCCACAGCGCAGGAGCGCAAGCTCAAGCTCGCGGAGCGCAATCAAGTAATCGAAGACGGACAAGTGACGCTCAAGCCGCAGGATCCTTCAAATGAGGAGCAGCATCCATCCGAGGCGCTCGACAGTCTCATGGAGACAGCGACGGAGTCCAATGCCAATACAGAAGCTGGAAATGCTCCAAACGCAACTGCCAATTCAGCAGACGACACGTTCGGTTTCAACTTCTCCTCTATACAAAGAGAAGAGCTTGAAGACCAACACTGGACTTCACAAGGAACGGAAGACGGGGAAAATCCACCAGAAAGCGACAAGAAGACGGAGGAAGCACGACTGGCAGAGCTCAGTGGAGAGTCAAGCTCACTTGCTTCCAATTCCGAGAAAACCGAGATGAAAGCTACGGAGACGCCGCAGTCGGTTCAAGAGGAAGCACCACCGGTTTCTTGTACGTCGGGGTCTACTCAACCACGACGAGCTGGAGTAGCGTCGGTGCCTCGCAAGGCGAAACCAGCGATCACGATCAATACCGGTTCGGGTTCGACAGGTGTTGGGTCTAAACGGCCACCCCCGACGCCGATTTCTCCACCAACTTTCTCTTGGAACGATATTTTACGGGTGCAAAATTTGATCGAGAGATGTCTCCAACAGTATCTGAGCAAGGTAAGATTTTTTTTTTCACTTTAGTTATGTAAAAAAAAAACTTATTTGTTCATGTTTAAACAGAACGACATTTTGATCACACTTAAAGAGCAGGCAAACGTGGACCCAGCCTTCACCAATGTTGTGTGGCAAAAACTCGAGGAGCAAAACCCGACGTTCTTCCGAGCGTACAGTCTTCAACTACAACTTAAGGAGCAGATCATCGCTTTTAATTACCTGGTACGAGTGAGAGCAGAGGTCCATAAGAAATATTTTACCTGAAATTATTCTGTAACTTACGAACAGGTTGGTCAGCAGAAGGAGATGGCAGCAAAAGGAGGCAAGAGGCTTCTGCATTACAGCAGCATGAATCGATCATCGGCAAATCGATCGTCAACACCGTGTTCCCTAGTCACGACAGCTACAGCTACGACGTTACCCCCGATCAGCATGGACTCAAGAACTTTCCTACGGACGCCAATTTGCTCTGCTAAGCGAACGCCAGCAGGAAAGCGTGCGTACAACATGAACATGTACCAGCTAGGCAGTTCATCAGTAGGGTTGAATGGCACCTCCTCCGGCATGACGACGTTGCCCCCGCCGTCACCGTTGCCGCTGCCATCGCCCATCAAAACGGATCTAGATACCCACGCGTTTTTCACTTGATGGACCGAATGTATGCAAAGGAAAGAGAAGCAATGACGATGTATTATGCAATTACGTCATGTCTAGTCCTCATTTTCCTCCTCCTCCGTCACCTTTGCCATCGCCACTTGTTTCTCAAGTTCTAGAATCTCTGGAGATAGTTGATTGCCCTTCAGTGTAAGTCGACGCAAATTCGGATTCTTCTCAACAGGATTGAACGGTAACTCCGTGATGTTGTTGTTTGCAAGTAGCAGATGCTTCAGCTTGGGCAGATCACCGATTCTTTTTGCAACTTTGGCAAGATTATTGTCCTCGATGTTGATGACCTCGAGCTTCATGCAGCGACCGAGTGATGCGTGCAATTTGGTCAGACAATTGTTTTGCAGATAGACCTTCCGTAGTGACTGGAGCTCACCCAAGTGCTTGGGTAGTTTGACCAACTGGTTGCGTTCGGCATGTAGAATTTCCAGCTTATGTAAGTTCTTGAAGGAATCCGGCAATGTGGTGAGCTTGTTTCCAAGAATATCGAGCTCTTTGAGGTTCGTTAGCATACCTAATTCTTCTGGTAGCGACTCGAGCGCATTGTCGTCTAGATACAGTTCTTCAAGCTGAAAAAGCTGGCACAGACTCACCGGAAATGACTTCAAAACCACAATGTCAGATCCTTCAACAACCATTAACTAGAGTTATCGGACTCACCGTGATCAAGTTGCGATGTAGGCAAAGCCCAGCCAAAGTGCTGGATAACTGGGCGATCTCGTTGGGGATGCCATCACTCGTCAGCTTGTTGTCTTCAAGATACAAACTCTCAAGTTTCGAGAGTTCACCAATAGCAGCTGGGAGTTCCGTAAGCTCGTTGTCACGAAGGTAAAGCTCTGTAAGTTGTCCCCACGCAGCCGTAGAGGCTGCATCACTACCGAAGCTTGCAGGTAACTGGATGAGTCCATTCTTCTCCAACGCCAACGTCTTCAAATTGGGTGGTAGCGCAAGTACCAAGTCTCCAGGTAGTTCAGTTAAACCTTTCTCTGACAAGTCGAGCTCTTCAAGATCCTGGAATTCCTCCGTTGTTTCTACGGGATCATCCAGATCGATCTCGAACTTCTCCACTACTGCCAGGAACGTCTCGAGACGCGAATCTCCGTCGTCACTCATGGCTAAAGAGAGTGGTTTGGCTCGACGCTAATCGCAGACTCTCGAAGCTAGGCATCTCCCAAAGCGTTCAATGCACTTATCCGTTTCGAGACGAAACATTCGAAGACAAATAGCAAGCACCTAAGCACCCTCATCACCAAAATTGGATGTGTACAATCTCACATACGCACAGAAGTTTCGTCGAGGAGAAACGTTTGATCCGTTCTCCAAGATACACAAAGATCTTATCATCGATTCAAAACTTTTGATATTCCAGTAAATAGGCTACTGCCATTCTTTCGCTAACCCGATTCTGAGTTACTTACTTAGTGGTCGAGACGCGGTTGTGGTCGCACTGACCCTCCCTGAGTCATGTGCATTGCAGTGCTTTCCTTTGTGTACTGGTAGACGTTCTCTGCAGCATCACGAAGGTCGGCAATCTGCTGCCACAAGTTGCGATTAACCTGAGATGCTCGCTTCACAGCTTCCATGTCTTTGGTATCCAGCGTTTCAACCACATCGTCCAAGTTGTCGCGGATGTCGATGAGATCACCAAAGCTGTCGAACGTATCGCGAACATCCTCCTCCTCCTTCTCAGCTTCCGGTTCTTGCGCAGTCATCCGTAGAGATGAAATACCCGATATTTGAATGCTTTCGTAGCTGCTGTCACTTGAACTTGTGGTCCTCCTGATGCTCTCTTTACTTGGAGTGTATGGCAACGTGTCCTCCAGGTCACTCAAGTCTACCGGCAAGCCACGACTTCCCCTTCCAGAGTTGTCAAGTTCCACCGGAGAGCTCCCATACACAGGATAATGTTTGTTACGTGAGGTGTTCTCTCGTTGCAAATAGCGCTCGTGGTAGCAATCCTCCTCAGCAGAGTTTCCTCGTCTAAAGGCTGGCTGACGCACCGGAATAGGCTCGTGGCGACTTCCAGATCGAGTTCTGATCTTCGGTAACTCGTGCATTTGGTTCGAGTTTGACGACGGAGATGCGTATCCTCGTTTTGAAACTGGGTCCTCTTCATCACGATGATTGCGATGGCTTCTCCTTCCGTCCTCTTTGTTCGGAGGGCGGTGGCCTCTTTTCGAGTTGCTTTCCAATTGAAGTGGCGGACGTGCGTGATGCTCGCGTTGGCCTGGAATATCGTCGATGCAAATGGTACCAACCGAATCATTCGAGTGATTGCTATCACGTTTGAGCGGAACGGGGCCAAACCGTCCAGCCATCACTTCTTCTCTCGCAATAGTCAGAGCACTTGTCTGCCTGTTCGTGGCGATACAACTCGTGCATAGCTCCAGCACACTCGTCGATACAAACTTGCTCGCATGCCGCTTGTTGCCTGAAGTATCCACGCTCTTCAGAGTGCGTTCGACGCAGCACTTGGAGCACATCGCGCCCGAGCACAATTTGCACTCTAGACTCTGTCGGAGGAAGCCGAATGACTTGTTGCAAATTTTGCAACGCGTGGCCTTCCCATTGGTATCCTGTTTGTCTGTGCCTTGGCTGCACTGCAATTGCCACGTCAGCTTCTTGTCCCGCGAACACTGCACCGTCCTACCGCAGTATAGCAGTGAATTCGCGCAGTTCTGCAGCGCAGCGGACTCGGAGATTTTGCCGTTGGGCGTCACATTGGACTTCATGAACACATCGACTGTCCTGCTGTCAAGTTCGACAAACAAGTGGACGCTTTCGCACTGTGCCCGACTAACGCCATGCGAGTCAAAAAGCTCCGGACAGTCACGTAACTTGACCGAGTGCATGATCTGGTAGCCAATCCTAATGCCGTCACCACGCGTAATAACACCAGTCGCCTCGAGGTAGACCAGGTCCCTCACCGACGTCAGTTTGTGCTTAACCGTTGTTCCAGTCATGGATTGGACCAACCACTTGATACCGAGGAACCGGAACGGACTGCGCTGTGATGGACCTTCGATAGCACACAGCACATCTCCATCTAGCACGTCCTCGTGCGCGATGGCGTTCTTGAGCGCCATACTAGCGCAGTCCGGGGCTGCGATGCCGTACATGACGTCGTCGAGTGAACCAATGATATTCCCAACTCCTAACAGTGTTGGAAGCTGTTCTAAGTTGCCACTGACACTGGCTGACCTGCTCTTATTCCTCTTCTTGTGTTCTCGAACTTCCGTGGCTGTGGGGCCCCATCCAGTGAGAAGTTCCAGTTCCGTGGCTTGGTGGGCTGGAAGCTCATGAATCGTCGAGATGGAGCCCGACCCGGACCCGGCCGAACTGGAACTGGATCGAGAAACGCGTCGACGTCCCGAGGACGAGATGGGGGCCATGACCGCGGCCCGCGCGAACGTTTTCTCGTCCTCGACACTTAGCGAGCGACTGACGGCGTAAGAGCGCGACTCGCGGTACACTTCGATGTTCTCGTGGTGCTTGACTGGCTTCCAGCGACGGCGGTCTATCTGGCGGTGACGGATTAGTGCGAACTCCTCATACTCCTTGAGCGCATCGCCCAGGAGTTCGGTGGCTTGTAAGTGGAACCGTCGCCGCTCGCTCTCGTTGAGCTCCAGACGACTGAACGGCCGCTTCGACACAGGGAAGGACACCATGACCTCCTGGGCCTGTGCGATGACGGAGACAGTTTGGTAGTAGACACCACCAAGATGTGCCATGGAGAATGCTCCGAGGCTTGCAAGGACTGCAGAGGAGCGACAGTGGAAGTGTCATGATGAACCGAGGGGATCATGAACGTTTGAAATGGCCTTTTGATGTACATCTGGCATTGAGCTGTTAAACTCGAATCCGATTGAAGAGCGTGGGATGGGTTTTCTCTTTCATTTTGTGAGCAAGCTGAGTTTTAGAGAACACTTTCTGACTGGAAGTTCTTGTTAATTCACGCTGATACACATCTCTTTAGTGAGCGAGTTGTTTTATAGGTTATAATATCCTTTACGGACTGAGTTAAAAAAAATTATAACTCACTCCGGTGGTTCATGTCGTCTTGATAAATTCAAACGTTAGAATATCGACAAAACGGCTTGATGAAAACCGCTTACTGCAAGCACTTCAGTAATCGATTTTCTTCGGACGTTTGTGTGCCTACGGACCTGTCGACCCTATGGCAAGGTCGACCTAGTTTGTCGCTTTCAAACCGCGTGCCTTCAGTGAAGGACCTTCTTCGTTTGTTCTCAACGCACGCATTATGGTCCGTCGAGTATGAATGATTCATTGAATCTGGTTCGAGCAGAAGGAGAAGAGGCGCAATTAACATATATTATGGTCCATAATATACGGCTTTGCTGTTGAGTCTTGCCCGATGGAGCACGCATGCTGGTCTACAATTGTCTGGTATGCTGGTCTAGCATGCATGCTGCATCGAGTCCAACCTGGTCTGTGCATACAGATCCACAGAATCTCTACAACTGTACTTTTACGGTATCGCGTTGGTACATGCACTATCTTGGCACAATCGTCGAGTTTATGCAGCAAATTTCGAAACAGCAACAAGTGCAAGTCTCCATGTCCGCCGACGAGCTCCAATTACACTTCGAGTTTTCATACACGCTCTTGTCAGTGCTCCCTTGCTGTATCTTGGGCTTGGCAGGATTTGAAAATTCGAGCGCAGAAATTCGGCGGTGGAATCTTCATCGTCGTCGTCGATACGCGTGTGCTGCGCTGCCCAAATGTCGTCGCGAAAGCAGTTGAAGACGCTCAAGTTGAGGGGCGTGTGTAGGTAAAACGTAGAGGCTAGGGCCGTAGATCTGAGGAGAGCTTTGCGAACGCGTATGTATACGTGTAAGTTAGAGAGATGACTGCAACACGAGGCAATGGAGGGTTGGCGTTGGATGGATGTGTCGTGCACTCGAGTCGGCAGCGACCGCAACTGGCGAACGCGCGATGGCAACATCTCTTTCAGCCGAACCAGCACACGACAGGCTTCGTCTTCGACGAAGGTACTGTATCCGCTCAGGGGATCACCGTTGCAGACTGCATCTTGCAGTCCTCCACATTGGTCGGGAGTTGAGATAGGTACGTGACAGCACGCGCTGCCGTGGCCTTCTTCATTTGCATCTCGAGCCTCGTTTCGAAGCCTTCACCTTCGACTCGAAGGTGAAGTTGCCAGAGCAAATCTCGGCCGCGCCACGCACTTCAACGTGAGCGAGCGTTCCCATCGAAGTCTGCATCCTAGAGAGCTCGACCACAGAAACACTGGGTTTGCAGCGAGCGCTGCGCCGTCGGCTGTTCCAAGCGCACTGAACTAACTGTGGGTGAGCTTCAAAAGCTGGGTTTTTAGTCTTCGCCTTGTGCCAGCTCAAGCTGGAAAGCTGGAAATGGACCACCGCACTAACGCGGTAGCTGCTGCCAGCCACGCGAGACACGTATATGACTTGGGTCGGCGCTAACATGCTGCCAGCTGACTCTGTGGCGCAGTAAGAGGCACATTACTACTGTGACGGCGGAAGATCCCCTCAGTGTTGACAACATGCTGTCAACAACGCGCCGATCTTCCACCGTCACGAGTCCAACATGTTGATACCGGTATACGAAAGAAAGCAAACGAGAGCGTCATTGCCAAGCGAACGCAATGGCTAGCGGCGCTAGCGCAACGCTCGCTTTTTAATCCCTTCTTGTTGTTTCATGCACCCACCTCACGAGTCATCGTGCCACGATTCGTGGCCTGGTACAGGTATTCCACGCGTCGTGTGCTCGTAGCAGCGTCCGCGCTCAGCTTTACAATCATCTCCAGCTTCTACAGTAAGCAGTTGAGAGCTCCGTACCCCACGGGACTCCCGTCGGGAGTGCTTCCAGTGTCGTTACGACTCCTACGAGGCAGCCCGCCAAGGCATCATCTGTTCGTCCGAGCCCGGTCTTTGATGAGTGGTCATCCAGTCGGTGGTTTGGATGAGCAGCTCCTCAAGTCGACTTGTCAGCGCGAGGAGCCATTCTGATTCCTACCGACGAACGAATCGCCATGACACTGCAAGTGACGGCCGTGACGACGCCCGAGGAGTTCCAAGAGGCCAAGGCGATCCGTCTGCGGGTATTTCATGAGGAGCAGGGCTTCGACCCGGTGCTTGAGTTCGACGAACATGACGATGAGCCCTCGACAATCCATTTTCTCGGCAAGGACGACGAACAGGACCAGTACGTCGCTGTGGGTCGTGTCTTGCTGGATGAAGCGGCCCGCTCGGCCAAGATCGGTCGGGTGGCAGTGCTCCAAGAGTGCCGTGGCAAGAGCTACGGCGCCGCATTGATGGAAGGCATGGAGCGTCACATCCGAGACCGCGTGGACTCGTTCAAGCTCTCGGCGCAGTTTGACAAGAAGGGATTTTACGAGAAGTGCGGATACCAACGCACGTCCGACGAGATTCACCTCGATGAAGGCGTCCCGCACTGCTGGATGGTCAAGGCTGCCAAGCCGTAGAGAGAAATACTAAAAAAAAAAACAATATATGACTCCATTTGCATCGCCCTAGCTTGGACCAGCTGGATCTGGTCATCCTCGATTGTTGACTTTGACCTGACTCATCTCATCGATGTCAGTTGATGCAACATTCCACCAGGTCAGTGGCCTCCCTGCCGCAGCATACATGTGCATGTAGTCTGGGATCTGACACTTTCCAATTCGTTCTAAAACACAAAGATGCCGCTGATCGTGACCGCCGTGACGACTCCTGACGAGATGCAGCATGCGATGGCTGTGCGTCGCCGCGTTTTCATCGATGAGCAAGGATTCCGCGAAGCTGTGGAGACAGAGGATCCCCACGACGATGAGCCCACCACCATCCACTTTGTTGGTAAGGACTCCGAGACGGGCGAGTACGTGGCGGTGGCTCGCTGTCTGCTGGACGAAGCCAACCGCAAGGCCAAATTCGGTCGAGTGGCGGTACTGTCAAAGTGTCGCGGTAAGAACTTCGGGGCGCAGCTCATGAATGCCATCGAGGAGCATGTGCGGGATCGTGTGGACCTGTTCGTCCTGTCTTCGCAGTATGGACGCAAAGGATTCTACGAGAAGTGCGGTTACCACTGCCCGAGCGACGAGATTTACGTGGAGGAAGGAGCTAAACACTGCTACATGATCAAGTCTGCCAAGCTGTCGGATTAGATTGATACTACGAAGTACGAGCAGCTTGAATCTAGAGAGCTGCAACACAATACAACTTAATGACACCACTTTCTTTGACTTTACTTAGTATTCTTGCACTAACTTGCGGCCATATTCCGCGGCACCTAGGACCACAGCTTCTTCAGGCCGAAAGTTTTTGGTGTTGAATGCAGATTGTTTGAAGAAGGTTTCGAGCTGTTCTCGCATGAATTCGGACTTTACGCCTCCACCGACAAGCACCAAAGCACTGAGATCCTCCTTTGATACGCCGGTCTCGTTCAGTGCTTGATTGCAGAGCGCGATTGCTTCCCTTGCGGGGCCTTCCTGAATCCGCGCAAGGTCAAATGTTGTGACTTTATGAACCAAATGCTTGGCGCCCTTCTGGTCAGCGGTGATAAACGGCAGATTGATGTCAGTGCTCACGCGACTGGATAACTCGATCTTGGCAGATTCCACAGCCTCTAGAATGCGATAACTGGCCATGTAGTCTACCGATAGATCAATTCCGTGCTTCTGTTCAAACTTTTCCACGACGGACCGGAACAGAAGGTCGTTCACTCGGTGGCCTGAAACCGCATGGGTCGACAGCGTGTGGAGCAGCCTGAATCCGCCACTACGACGCTCTTTCTGAAGCAACGACACGGTCGATGCATACCCACCAATGTCGAACACTGCAATCGGACCTTTCGCCGACAATACTTCAGGATTTCGCAGCTCCTGGATCGCGCACTCCTCCACAGCATGCAGAGCAGCCACAGGCTCGTCAATGGCTGCAAACACAGTAAATCCTGCGCTGTTCGCAACTTTTTCATACGCTGCACGCTCGTGCTCATTAGTTCCAGCTGGAACTGCAAGAACAGCAGGGAAATTCTCAATCGGGTCTCCTCCCAATGAAGCCGCTGCAGTCGTGTGCAAATGGTCCAACATGATCTCCGTAGCCCACTAAAACGCGTACAAAACGTCAGTATCTAGTATCAACGTGTCCAGCAACCTCCGACCTACCTCAGGACTGTAAGTTTTCCCATCTAGCTCTAGCTCCAGCGTCTCTCCTCTTAGATGCAAAGTATATGGCAGCTTCTTGATGACCTCGTCTCTCTCTTTAGTGGCAGGTCCGAGCAGCAACCTTGTGGCCGTCGCTGTGTGGCCCGGCTTTCGTCCCTGCAGCGCCATGGCAATTGCTCCCACCGAAACGCTGCCATTGTCCACCGCTACCGCCGCAGGTGTCGCTCGCAGTCCATCCGCGCTCTCGATTACCCGCGCCTCGTGCCCAAAATCCAGCAGCGAGGCCGCCGCCACGCGCAGATTTGATGAGCCCACATCCACTCCAAGTATCTGCTGTATCTTGCTTAGAGATGATGCGTCCTCGTCAGTATCTTCGCCCTCATCGCCCTCGCCCGGCAGACCAGCTCGTCGTCGTCGCACGCGCTCCTGGGCCCGCAGGATGTAGCGCGTTCCAACAAACAACCCCGCGCACGCCAACCCCACGGGGACGAGCCAAGGTTGCGGTTGTGTGGAATGGAAGTGGCGCAAGGCCCTTGCGCCTGTCGGCGACGTCTTCGCCTTTGGCCGGATGACTTGCATGGTGGTGGAGTTACGAAGTGAGCTCATTATGAGAAGCTTTGAATCGATGTGATTGGTAGAAAAATGGCAAGGTTGAAGACACATGGCTACATTTGGTTCAGAGTCCGAGTCGAGGCAGCAATTCTGCTGCTCGAACGAGTTTCGTGGTGTTGGTTAGCGTAAGGAAACTTTCATCAGGTGCAGCATATTTTCTTTCAGCCTTTGCGCGGATTCGGGGTAGTTCGTACGAGACGCGACGACTGTCGAATTGGTCCGGAATGCCTTCGACTTTGGGGTAACGATGTCGTGAACGATGGAGGTTATCACTGTTTGTTCGTCTAGCATTGGACTGAAGATTGAGCTGCTGGCATTTTGCTTCAAATGCAGCCGCCGATCGGCTTTGGAAAGCTTCTCAGAAAAGTAGAGGTACTTGGCGGCATCCGCTGCAAGCTGCTTGGTGCTGAATAGCGACTTGGTCTGATCTATTCGCCGCTTCATTTTCTTGTTCTCCTCGGCGATTCGCTCTTGCTCGCGCTGCCACTGAGGATAGTTTGATGGCCCGTGGATGCTCAAATGCTCCAGAGTGTGATGCGAGACGTCAAACCTCTTCGGCATCTTCTTATGGATGCGTTCGAGTCGTTCTAGTAGCATTTGATTGTGCTGAGCGATTTCAATCTCCCTGTCTGCTCAAACAGAGCGCTTCTTTGAGACCGCTATAGTCAAGCATTGGGTCCTTGTATCGACACGCACCTAGCGCTTGCTGGATCTTCTTCGCGTTATTCACTGTGCGACCGCCTGCTTCGGTGTCTATGACGGAGTGAGCATGTTTGATTCGCTGTTGATTTCGAAGTCTCGTCTCCTCAAAGTAAGCCGCCGTTAGGATGTTGTCGCCGCCAAACTCGTACTCTGCTGAATAGGTCAGGGAGCGGCTTTGTTTCGTCATGAAGCTGACAGTGCAGCAACACCAATGGCGATCTCCTTGCTCCTTCTTTGACAAACGCACTTCCGAAATGATGCGAGTGTTGTCACGCGTAACAGAAAAAAAAACTATTTCGAGGCCAACTGGGATATATTTGTATCGTCACTACTGTAGTTCTAGGTGCATCAGTGCATCGGTGCTGACTGAATAGGGTCTATCAGGACCCCTTCGCCTGCTTGCCCTTCTTCGCTTTACTTGCGGAGCCTCCAGACTTTTCATCGTTGTCACTCAGCTCACTGTCTTCATCATCCTCCGCCTGCTTAGCTTTGTTCTTGCCCCTGCGTCTCTTCTTCGACGTCGTTGTCGTAGTTGATTCTGTGTTCGTATTCCCAAGAAGTAGCAAATGGCGAGTGGAAGGGGAAGCAGCAGCCAGATCGATCCGTTCATCCTCCGGGATAAACGCATACATCGCTCCATCAGTGATGGAAGATTTGGTACGCTTCCACACTGTCAGCGTGTCAATACTAGAGTGCCATGAAGGTAGTGGCACTTGCAGCACCTTGTGATACACAGCTGCCAAGTGAGTTTGAAATTCCTCCGACGATGTTCGACCCCTGAAAAACGATTAACACCGAATTAGAATATGCTGCAACTCAATGTCAATTACAACACACTCACCATGCGCCAGGAAGGCATACGGTTTGGCCGAATAACTCTCCAATATGGATCACAGTATCGCCTGCATAATTGCAGAGGCTTGCCATCGCCATAGACTCGTGACTGTCCTCGAAATCGTCCGGATAGCACAAGAATAACGCTCGGTCAGCATGCTTGCGCAAGTCCTGTTCATCGCATCAGTAGAAAATGATCAGTATATCTAATTGAATATGATGAAGTCCACTGCTACGAACCTTAGGCGTTCCCTTGAGCACCTCCGTCCAGTAGACTTGCTCCACTTCAACCTCTTCTTCGTCCCCGCTCTCCTCTTCAACTACTTCTTCCTCGTCGTCAGGCTCCTCATCTGCTTCTTCGCCACCACTGCCCTGTGCCTCCTCTGCATCGCCATGACTTTCTTCTCCACTCGTAGCAGCAATTTTAGCATTCTCCCTCTCCTTCTCGTCGCTTTCATCTTCCTTCTCCCCCTCATCTCCAGCAACGTGCAGATCATAGGCGACAACGTCCACGCTACGAAGCTGCAACAGGCGAGCCCAGTACCCGCTACCAGCTCCCATCTCCACAATCTACCAACACGAATGCCAATTAAACTCATACCTCAAATTTAAAAGTGATATCAGGGCTTACCGGTCCATAGTGTTTGATAATCTGCAGCGCACGCTCATCTGGAATCGCCCACGAATATTTCTATGCGTTTTCACCGGTTTAGAACAACAGGTTAGCATCGAAAAATTGATGCAACGTAGTCCACCAGTCTCTTACCATCGCCACGCTCACGTCCAGCGCCGCATACATCTCGGAGCGAGCCTCATCGCTCAGCTCCGGGTCAAAAACCGCTGTAAGTTCACCTGGGTGTTCACGCACAAATTTGCGGTAGAAATCCAGGTACGGGTTGCTGGTAGGCGTCAACTCCAGCACCTCCGCGTCCGCCATTCTCGACCCACGAACTTGAATGGCAGCAAAAAAAAGGAATCTTTTTATTGGACAAAATTGTTTGAAAATTAACTACCAATCCGACGCGTTAAACATGGCTACACTACCGTGCAAGTTGCAACGTTTCAACGTCACAGATACTTTGGAGCAATTGCCTACGCTGATAGCAGTGGCTGGTTCTCACCCTCGTATCTCATCGGAGGCGACACACTCAGGAAGCTGCACGATGACAGCGACCGGTAACGCATGTTGACACGCGTGCCACAGAAGAACACGACGAGCAGCAGCACAGCGAGACAAATACCGAATGCAGTGAACGTACTACAGATCTTCAGACCAATCGGTAGTGAACCACCAGCAACGGACACGACAGCCACCAATACAGCATACGGCAGGATACTGCGCACGTGGTTCTCCAGCGGTACGTGCGCTGACAGCGACGCCAGGATGGACGTATCGGCGATGGGTGAGCAAGTATTGCCAAACACAGAACCACCCAAGATGCTACCAAAGCATTGACGCAGGTTCTCAGCGTCACCACCACTAATTGACCACGACAGCGGCGCGATGATCGGGAACATGATAGCCATCGTACCAAACGCACTGCCAACTGCGAACGACACGATATAGCACAGGAGACAGGCGATCGCCGGTAAGAATTGCTTCGGAATCGAGTCTCCAACCACCGACGCGATGTACGGAGCTGTGCTAACTTCGCCAATGACCGAGCCAAGAGCCCACGCAAGAGTGAGAATCAGCGTCGGGTCCAGGATATCCTTTACGCCTTCCATCCAAGCCTTGGTAGCTTCGTTCAGCGTGATGATTCGCTGCAACAACAACAGCGTCACGGCAATGACCCATCCAGCAGCAGATGCACGGATAAGAGACGACACCGAGTCACAGTGACTCAGGGCATCCAATATACCAAAAGACCCATTGGGGTCCTGACTGTACAAGCTGTCGAAGCCGTCGAAAATCATCCCCACGAATGTCAGTACGACGATAGTCAGGAACGGTACTACAGCATTTTGCCACCGCAGTGGTTTCGTTGTGTCGGGCTCTAAGGGAGCGAGTTCGGGCTTTGGGCTGTCCATCGGTCCGGGGAAAACTGGAGTCATCGAGCCATCATTGATTGGGGATGCAGCAGCATCCTTCTCGAACTGCACCATCGGGCCGAAGTCCTTCTCGCAAATAATCGTGATGAAAATGAAAGCGATGAAAAGGATCGGGAAGAATCGGTAGTGCAGACACGAAAGACACGTGACGAATGGGTCCCAGTCGAGCTTGAGGTCGCGAAGCTGAGCTGCTACGTAGCCGATTTCCACACCAATCCATGCGCTCACCGGAGCTGCGGACACAACCAGGGTTAGTCATTATAAGTTAGTTAGGAATACTTGTACAGCCACAAACAGTAAGGTCTTACACATGGACGGCAAGCAGACGCCGACGGTATGGATAATAGCCGCAAACTTCTCGCGACTGACACCTGTCTGGCTCAATACTTGACGCAGCGAGCTTCCAACAATCAGGATGCACGAGTAATCGTCGAAAAAGATAACGAGACACAGAAGCCACGTCGACAGTTGCATGCGCAGCGACGACGTCATAAACCTCTTGGCAACCAGCGCTAGGCCGTGGCCACCTCCACCCTTCTGAACCACGCCGATAGTTCCACCAAGTACAATCGTGAACAACAGCACACCAGCGTGATCGTCCACTGTGAACGCATTCACCCAGTACTGGTCGAATGTGCGCAGGAACGCCGTAAACGGGTCTCCATTCGAAACGATAATGGCACCACACCAGATACCGGCAAGTAGCGACACTGTTACTTGACCCAGAACAGCCGACATGATCAGAGTCACCAGCGGTGGCAATAGTGAGACCCAGCCTGGCGATACAACAACTGAGGTCGTATGGGTTCCGCGGAACAATAGCACATCATCGAATTGCACCTCATCGAGTCGCACGGCAGAAGCCAGCAACACTGAGGTGTCGGAATTTGAGCCATTTACTTCTGGTGCTTCTGTAGTCGGCTCGGGCTTCTGCTTTTCCCACACTGTTGTGGTGAGGTTATGCTCTCCGTACGAGTCCAATTGCAACTGCTTGATTGATATCGATAGCTGCGACTGGAAGTTCCCATCGACATCGAGCGTCTTAACGCTGCCGTTCGTCACCACAGACCCATCCGAGTCCTCCACGCGGTACCACAAATGCCTAGGGTACACGGAGCCTACAGCAGTGTTCTGTTTAATGTATTGCAAATAGCAACAGAGACTGTAGTAGTCACGTACCATTCTTGAGCTCCGGCAGCTCGATCGACACTTCAAAGTCTACCTGTTGCAGGATCACTGTCGGCGTCTGCAGCTTGATGGAAGTGGTGTGAACGCGGTGTGCCGTGCACAGACCAGCAATCAGCGACGCCGCCCCGACGAGACGCAAGAAACCCATGTCGCTCGATGCCAATCAACGAAGACTGGGCCCGCGGGAAGGCGAACATTTAAAAGCGAAGATTATCGCTAAAAATGCAATATTTACATAAATCGTGGTACAGCATGTCATAAAAAGGGGATTTAGCGGACGTAATTGGGGCAGGAAGACACTGTTTTTGCACTATTCGGACACAAGATCGAGTTAAATTGGTCCGGTTCTGACTCAAGATCTAGTACAGTAGCAATCCGGCTAAGTACACCAGCTTCAACGTTCAGACTTCAACTTTTACTTTTTATATTGCACGTGAAAGCAGCATTGGTAATAGCTGCGCATTAGGCTGCGAGCGCACGCGAAGCCCTTGGATTTGCTCGGCGTAGCATCGGCATGAGGTTTGTCCATCGGAACATCTGCGAGAGGATGCACGTGGAGAACCAAACAGTCACGAGCAGGCAAACGGACGCCTCCGAGCTGAAGAAGCTGAAAAGCTGAGCCTTCTCGTGGAGTGGGGCTGTTAACTGTCCGAACACCGAGGTAATAAAACTGAAGGACGTGACGCAAGCAAGGCAATGTTAGTTAATTTAAGCTCGTTGTCTCAATGATACATTTGCATAGCAGACGTACAGATTGTGTGTGGAGTGGTAGACGACGCTGGACCAAATGACGTAGCTGGAATTGCCTTGGATCCAGCACATGATGATGCGGGAGCCAACTAGTAACAGCGTGAATACTGCCAGCACGTAGAGCAGATGGAATTCCCGCGTTTCAGCGACAGAGTAGCCGGAACCCTTCGGCACCACTTCCAGCGCGTCGGCGATGATCATGGGCCAGTGCCAGAGTGCCCATATGCACCCAGTAATAGCCGACGCTAGAATGGTCGAATGACTGAAGACAATCTCCAGCGCTGCGGTAATAAAAATTAACAAAAAAAATTAATCAGAAAACAAAAACCTTCTAGAGACGCAATCCGAGTTGCATGTTACCTGGGAAAAGGGATCCGCTCCAGCCAATTTCCTGAATCATTGCGAAGAAGAACCAGCTTGTACCTATTCCACGAGCAATCAAACACGGGGAATACTATCAGTAAGCATCACGTTGCGATCCTCAACGAAGAAAAATTTCGCCACCTAAAGGTCGGAGACCCATCGAGAGCCCGACGTCGTATCGCTGCGGTGGCACTGGATCCCAAAAGATCCCGAGGAAGCTGATATAAAACACATAGAACACCAACCCGGAGTCGAGCGCCTCTACATCATTAAAGCTGAATACCATCTCCAGCTTTCGCACGAAGGTGCGGTTAAACTGCAAGCAAGAAAAGTAAATGCCAAATGAGCATCGAATAAAATACCCCTTAACAAACTTATACGCACCGGGTTCACCATCCTCGTCGCAGCAGTAAACGAAAATGCTGCCAATTCACACAGAACTGGGATCGCGTAGCTGAGCAGTGCAAGTCGTAACGTGGATCTTGATGAATGGGAACTCCTGAATAGGTGGTACAGCGGCGGGATATTCCAATGCGGCGGTGTGTTGCATGCCTGGAGCCTCAGCTTCGCTACTACATCAACAATAATAAACATAATACAAAATCGTTAGCATCGTGACCATGTCCTGCCGTTCGTATTCGCTTCGCTGACGTACTGTTCCGTAGTGCAAGCGATGCTATCGCAGGACTAACGAACCAAAGGCAGCGGAAGGCAAATACAATGGGTGTGTTGGCCGAGATACCCCACTGCTTGCAGAATACCAAGCCTGTGAGCGAAAGCACCACCATTGAATAGAGCGACACGAGGTAGGCGATGACTGCGTCGCGATAAGCCCACATGACGTCGGCCGAGAACATGCCGTGGAAAAAGTAGTTGGACGAGCCGCGGTCATTGCGGTGGTGATACTGATGCGCTGGTTGCACGAGAGGGTAATACTCATCCCATATATTCTTGCCATCACGTCCAGACTTTTTGGAGCCCGAAGCCGTCACAGGACCAGCGGGCACCGGATTCACCAGTGCGCTGGCGGCGGGTCGGGTCTCAGGCGAAGAACCCGGCTCCAGGTCCACCATCGTACCATAGTTGGTGCCAACAGTGGAGCTAGGCATACTGCTCATGGTGTTGCTGGTGGCGCTGCTGTCGCGACTACGCTTGCCCATCGCCAAGCGCGACTTGGTTGCCGGTCTTTGTTATCGGTTTTCGTATCGGGGCGCTCGAAGGAGACAATGGAGAGGTTAAGCCGCACTCACTTCGACCAAGTCTATGTCTATCTTTGGGCTTTGGATGAACAGGCGACTTCGATGAAGAGGCTTCCCACCAATAGGCCACCCTCTGCTTCAGCTTCCGCAGCCAAATCTCCAAGCAGCATTTTGGCTCGGACAATAGGAACGACCTTCGCACGACATTAGAAAAAATAGAAGCACCTCAGACGCCATAACCGGTACGATTCGATTTCAGTACTACTGTAACTACTGTTAGCCCTGGATATTTAAGGTACCGGTATTTACCGGTAAACTTTTAGATGCTGGTCACACAAAGTCTCAAGTGGGCGATTGTCCTTCCGCTCCTCAAACAGACCCATACCAAAATTTATCCGACTTCCGACGTTTCCGACGCT